CCTTCCAGACCTTAAATGCAGTCAGCCTTCCTCTGCACACCCTCCCTGGCTTCAACAGTCACACACGTGCTGATGATCCCCGACCCCCTGGCCCTATGTCATGATGATGCGGGTCCCCAGCTTTCCTCTCCGTTAGATCATATGCCTCCTAGGAGGGCAGCTGGTGTCTCCTGTTCCCCGCAGTCTCCCCAAGGACTGGCCTCAGACCTGGCACACAGACATATTTGTGTGCTGTGGAAGAAATGAGTGGTTCATGGGATCTGCTCCAGGGCAGGTGGAGCCCAGGGGGCCCTGTGGGCACCTCCTGCTCTTCCAGCACCATCCTGAGGGCCCTTTCAGGGCGATGTGGGTTGGGCCCCACTTACATCACCAGGGCCTTCTGATGGGAGCCTTGAATTACGGCCAAGATTCGGTCCAGCTTCTCTCTGGTCACGTGGTCTAGAAAAGCCAGGGGACCGTCAGGAGGTACCCACTGAGGATGGGCGATGACAAACTGACAAACTCCTTTCCCCCAAACCGGCCCTTTCCTTGGAATCTGGAGGGGGTTCCAGAGCATCCTCTGATCCCAGGGGTCCCATCTAGGGGTTCAGAGTCCTTTGAAGACCTTATGAAAGCTTGGTCTCTCTTCTCAGAACAATATGCATGAACTCTATATTTTGAGGACATTTCCAGGGAACTCACAGACTCCAGCTTAAAAACATTTTCTTCTGGAAATGAGATGAAGATGTAATGTGACTTGCCCGATATTCTGAGTCAGGCCTCCTAAGCCCCAGTGTGGGGTTTTCCATGCCAGGAAGCCTGGTAGGGAGGGTGCCATCTGTCCAAATGCAGAAACAGGTGGCAAGGAGTGGCTGTACGGCAGGCAGTAGCAAAGCCTGGGGATACTCACAAGCTCTGCTGGCAGGCTGATCCTGCAGCTCAGCTGGGGCAGGGGCCAACTTCTGGCTCCAAAGGCCAGAGTTCTGGGAGCAGGTGTAGTAACTGTGAAGACTTGCCAGCTTGGAAACCCTTAGGTCTCTCATCTCTTCTGCCCGGCTCATTCATGCTGTTGTCTTACCTGGTGTGCACCCCACACCACCTCCTCCCCTTTCATTTACAGTCCAGCTCAAATGCTGCCTCCTCCAGGAAGCCCTTCCTGGAGCATGTTGCTTTTTCCTCCTGGCTCCTGCCACTCAGTACCTGGGTCTATTTCCCAACATATAATTTTCTTTGGTTTTTATATTACTTTTTAATTATGTCATTGCTATATGGATCTTCTTTAAGAAATTCAGATTAGCACCAACAAACATCTCCCCTCCTCCAAATTCTGGCTTCCTCCCTCCTAAAAGTGTCAATTTGGTAGCTGTCTTTAGATGTGTCTTGGATGCTGACACACATCTACACATACAAACATACAGTGTCGTCTTGCCATGTTTTAAATCTCTAGAAGATATAGAGATACGTATCTGCTCTCTTTGCTAGTCTGAGTTCACTGAGATTGGGGACGCGACCATATGTACCCCCAGTGCCTAGAACGTGGTTTGTGCCAAATAAGCAAATGCAATAGATGTTATGGAGAATGTCAGAACATGGGGAGAGTAAGAAGTCAAGAACGGGCCATTTAGCCATCCATCCCCCATCCATCCATCCACCCCCTATCCATCCACCGATCCATCCATCCATCCCTCCCCCATCCATCCATCCACCCCCTATCCATCCACCCATCCATCCATCCATCCATCCATCCATCCACCCACCCATCCATCCACTCATCCATCCATTCATCATCCACCTACACATCCATCCATCATCCACCTGCCCCTCACTCTGTCGCGGCTGGATCATCTCACTGGAGACAGGCAGACCAGGCTACATGTCACGGCTGTCCCTCCCTCCCTCCCTGCCTCTTTTCTCTCTTCCTGCCAACTATCATCCATCCATCCACCCATCCATCTATCCATCATCCACCCATTCATCCATCCACCCATCCATCTATCCATTATCCACCCATTCATCATCCATCATCCATCATCCATCCACCATCCATCCACCACCCATCCACTCATCCATCCATCCATCTATCCATCATCCATCCATCTATCCATCCATCCATCCACCTATCCATCCATTCATCCATCATCCATCCATCCATCCACCCATCCATCTATCCATCATCCATCCCCCCCCCCCCCCCCCCCCCCCCCACCCCTCCACCCATCCATCCATCCATCCATCCCCCATCCATGCATCCCCCATCCATTCATCCATCCATCCTTCCCCCATCCATCCATCCATCCATCCCCTCCCCATCCATCCATTCACTTATTCATCTGTCTGTCCATCCATCCATCCATCCATCCATCCATCCATCCACCCACCTTCCATCAAATAAGGACCTCCCAGATCCCAGGCCCTGATCTATGTGTGACCATTGTGGTGAAATTACACAGTCCCTGCTTGCATAGGTGACAGTCTGGTGGGGAGAGGGATACTAAATAATCACTAATCGTCTACGGCCATGCCACCCTAAACGTGCCCAATCTCGTCTGATCTCAAAAGCTAAGCAGGGTTGGGCCTGGTTAGTACTTGGATGGGAGACCACCTAGGAAGACCAAGCATTGTAGGCGTAAATAAATAAATAAATAGATAGATAGATAAATAAATAAATAATCAATCAATCACTTATCATTAGTTGATTACTAACTATTCTGAGAGTCCATCCAGTCCAAGTCTGAGGATCAGAGAAGCTCCCCTGGGGAGGTGACATTTAAGCCAGGCAAGGAGACAAAGGGGAGCACAAAAAAGAATGAGGTATCCAAAGACCCCTAATAGCCAGCCCGAGCTTGGTGTGTCTGCGAGTGACTGAGAGGGAGCCCACACAGCCCACGTGGGGGTGAGGAATCGGGAAGGCAAATGCGGAGGCAGCCGCAACTGCTTCTCCCACCGCCCTGGGCTCCTACAGGCTCTCACCGTATGTCGTCTTCTCCACCAGCCGCCCGTCCTCACAGAAGTCATCTGTGGCTTTGCCTAGGAGGCCGCACACTGTGTAATCCTGCAAGGACAAGGAGGGTAAGACCTAGTCAATGTCTCTGCTCTCAGCCTCAGTGCTGAGGAGGGGGGTACTAGACTGAGGGTTGGGGTGGAGGACCCTCAGGGAGCTCAGGCACTCAGCCCCTACCCAGCTACCCCACTACCCCCTAGGGAAGGGCACCGGACTTTCCTATGATGGTGAGGGCTGGCAGCCCAAAAAGGGCACTGATGACCATACTGTGACAATCCCATGCTGCTACACCTCTCCAGTCCAGCCGAACGTAACAATTCATCATGCTCGGCCCTTCCTGGCATGTCCTGTTGGTGACTCTCTATCCCTCTAAGTATGATCTGTGAGGCTAACGGCCTTTGCCACAAATTAATGACTATGACGATAGAGATGATGACAAGTAACAATGAGCATTTACCATATGACAGTGACTGTGCTAAGTGTGTTACTTGTGATCACTAATTTAATCTTCAAAGTGACCCTATGGAGGTGGTACTATTATCACTCCCATTTTAGAGAGGAGGAGATGGAGGCGCACAGATGTTAAGTAACCCACCCAAGGACCACAGCTGGCAGAGAGGTAGAAGCTGGTTTTGAACCAAAGCCATTTGGCTCCAGAATCTATGCTCTTAACTATTAAAAATTCATGCCCCCTAACGGGGCACCTCTGTGCACGCTCGTGGGGCCAGACTCCATGCACTCAGCTGGGACACAAGCAGCCTGACGTCTAGGCAGTGACATCCACTTCTCAGTCTTGGGGAAAGAATGGAGTGGTGTCATAGTAAGGCTCTGGTATTAGACGGACATAGGTTCCAATCCCAGCTCTGTCCCTTTCAGGATGCATGACCCTGAGCAAGCGACATCCTTTCTCTGAACCTCAGTTCTCTCATCTGTAAAATGGGTGAAGGACAGAACCCACAGTCATTATTACGTTGTTACAGGCTTCTACAGCATGTGACCATAAAAACATGCTGGCTGACGGCCTGGGAATCCCCAGTGGAATCCTCTCAGCCTCAGACTCCTGCTAGTGACCCCCAGGGAAAGGACCAGAGGATAAGCAGTCTGTCCCCAGCGCCTCGTACCTTGGTGAGGTGAGCGTTGTACATGTCGGTGAGGAGACGGCGACCATGTCCCACGCCGAGTACTGAAAGGCACCCAACCTGATTTCACAGCTGGCTCCGCTTCCCCGTTTCCCTGGGACCCCAACCCCCATACCCACCATCAGAATATTCCCACCTCCAATGCCGCTGAAGCCAGTGAGGGAGCAAGGAGAGCTTCTTCTACAGGGAGCAGTCGAAATCCCCTGGGTATATGTAAAAATGCAGATTCCTGGGCCCCACTCCTATGCACTGTCTCCGAGATGTGGTGGGGAGGGGCTTTTGATACACTCAAAAGAGACAAGTGGCCCAGTCACACGGACCTACGCTGTAATCAGGGGAGGCTCTAAGCCTCCTCCGGCCTCACTGTCTGATCCCTGTGATGTTGTGAAGACTGAGGAAGCACAAGAAGCAATCAGGACAAAGGAAGGGCCCCATAAATGGGGGCATTGTGGCCACTCCCTGCCTTTCCCCAGCTCTATTTGTCCCTCTGGCTGAAGGAGAAATGACTCTCCATTCACTTCTGGAGGGAGAACAGGGAGGGGGCATGAGGTCATGTCTGCCTGCCTGTGCCCCAGGAAGCAAGACAAGAGGACTATGGCTGTCACACATGGAGGATGTGGATACCGCTTGACCCTAGGGACACAGATGGCTCATGACTCAGAGTGACCCAGACCCTAGCTAGTGGAGTCAGAGTCACGTGTTTTGCTACCCCACGCAAGTGATGATGGTTTCCCCTCTCTGGACCAAGAGTGTTCACCAGCCATGTGACCCAGGACGAGTCTCCTGAGCTCCTGGAGCCTTGCTTCTTTCATTCATAAAAATCATACAATATCTATCTAATGAGATTGCTGTGGTAAATACATGTACACAAAGGGCTTCATACTACATCACATTCGGGAATGATTTGATGAAGGTGGGCAATTGTGAACTCCCCACTTCCACCAGCTGATCACTCTTGGGCCAGGAATCAGAGGAGAGCAGTGGTGGAAAATGGCTGTCAAGCTGGAAGTGCGCTGGGCTCCTAGAAGCTCCCTTATCCTCCCTAAGCCTATATGACTACATCCCCAGGCTCACCACATCACCTACCAAGCACCCCAGATGCCTGGGCATCCAGCCGGTGTCCCACGCCAACCTTCAGGCTGGTGAATGCTGGTCCACGTACTGGAAAGAAACACATGAGGTCCCTTTCCTCAATGAATCCAGACTCCAGGATGGCTTTAGGCTGCTCGATGACCTCATTCCTAAAATGCAGCCTCACAGTGCTCAAACCAGGATCAAGTTGGGCTCTCAGGTTTCCTTACCACAAAACCTGGGGCCTAGAACCACTTCCTCAGTTCCCTAGGCCCAGAGAAAAGACAACCCAAGATGCCTGTTACTCTGCCTATACCATTCCCTCAGTGAGAGTCTGAGTGGACTGCGCATGACACTGAGAATCAAGATTATACAGTTCCCTATCCAGCTCCTGCAGAAGGAGTATCCTAGACAGTCTGCCGGTGAGAAAACAAAGGCTGTGAGCTCCTTCAGGCAGGCCTGGGTCTGCTTGTTTACAGTTCCAGAGTCCAGAACTCATTAGCTGCTCAGGAAATAACTACCGAAAGAATGAATGACTCATTAAAATATATATATATTAAAATAACTGTAGTTTTCTGTCTACCAATTATCCCTCAATAAAATTGCTGTAAACACCCACACATACACACACACACACACACACACAAAACAAAAAAAGAGTAAATGCAGGAATGAACCAGAAGCATTTATACCACGGCAGACTCTAGGGGGATGGTATAAGGTAATTAAGAGCCTAGTGAATCCAGGCTATGTTACTTAATGTTAACATTGAGTCTCAGTTTCCTCTTTTGTGAAATGAGAATAGGATTCACCACTCAGGATTGTGGTGAAGATTCAGTGAGATGGCATTTGGGAAAAGCTTAACACAGTATCTAGTACAAAGTAGATCCTCAATACATCATATTTGCTATTGTTATACTGTAGAATCACTGAATATCACTGTTGAAGGGGGTTTAGAGGTTTCTGGTCAAGCCTCTTTGTCCTCCTAGAGTGTCTAGACTTCAACCTCCTTAGGACTTCTACCTGAGGGTCTGACTTCCCTATAGCGTCCCAGAATAGTAGAGGGGTCAGCAAACTACAGTCACAAGCCAAATCCTAAAGCCTATTTTTATAATGGCCCATGAGTTAATATTTTTCTCTATTTTTCAATGGTTCAAAAAAATCAAGAGAATAGTTAGTGACATATGAAAATTACATGAAAGTCAAACGTCAGTGTCCATAAAATTTCATTGGAACGCATCCCGGCTCATCGCTTTACATTATCATCTACAGCTGCTTTTGCACTACAATGGCAGAAGTGAGCCTGCAAAACCTAAAATAGCTACTATTTGGAAAATCTGCCAATTCCTGGGCAAATACTTCATCCTCACTGTGGCCCTTCAAAGGTCTGGGACAGGAGTCTGAGCACTGACTGGGACAGTGAATCTGGGCAGAGACTTCCTGGGAAGTGACGCCCAGACCCCTGCCTGAAATGTACCTTACCCAGCAAATGGTCCGTGAGGGTGGGCACACTGGTGGCTGTGAGGGTCAGTTCCTTCTCTTTGCTGCCTTCCATGGGGCCCAGCAGGAAGCGAACGCGCTGTTCTGGGGCAGGAGGCCTCCCAGCATTGAGACCTGAGTATACACAGTTAGAGGATATCTTGTCAATTCCGTTCGAGGGGAAGGAAGGGCCAAGGAAGTATGATGATGGAGAAGACAGAGGAAAGCCCACGGTGGCGAACAGAATAGCAATAGTTAAGTAAGCCTTGGGTTCAAATCCTACTCTATTACTTATTAACTGCTTATAACAACCGACAATACTGAGTTTGTTTACCCATCTGAACACATGGAAAAGGAGGAGTAACAGAGTGTACAGAACACATTAGGAAAGCGCTCTGCCCAGGCGACCAAGTCACATGACTTTATTTTGCTAGAAGGATCAAGAGAGAAATCGTGGTCTAGCTGGAGGCACTCACCCTTCAGAAGCTGCAGCTCCACGGTATCCCGCAGATGCTTCCATTTTAGCCCCGGAGGCTTGTAGACCGCGAAGAGCCCATGCAACCGTGCCAAGCCGGCGGACCCCATGTGCGAAGCCGGCGGTCCAGACTCGCAGCAAAGCTGGACGGACGGAAGTGCCGTACAGTCCCACGCTCAAATACGGTCCTTTCAACGGGCGCCGCCATGTTTCGCAGCCGGAAGCGGTTCTCACCTTATTATCCTCGGCGGGGAAAGGTGATGCAGAAAATAAGTAGGGCCCGGCGCTGAACCCAACCTAGGAAGATTTACTTGGAGATCCTTTCTGGGGGTGAGGTGAAATGAGAGTTTTACGTCGGTAGAGTAGGTGGCAGACAGGCTGCCTGGATTTCCTGCTCACACTTAGCGATAGGGCCCTTTCCTGTTCGAGCTACGATCCCCCCGGCTCAAAAAGCCCTACTTAGAGTAATAAGGGTCGAGTTATTTTGACCCCTCCGGCTCTCCGTCGCCAGAAAAGTTTAGAGCGTCGGCTTTGCCCCGCCCATCCTCCCGCGTAGGTCAGAAAGTCCCCGCTGTCATGGCGACGGGGTTGTGGCGGGCCCTGCGCCCCCTCCGCCCACTCCAGTCCATCCCTGGGCCTCTCGCAGGCAAGTGGCGGGGGCGGGAAGGAGTCCTGAGGGCCACGCACACGTTTGACCACTGCCTTTTTCTTGCCCCACAGATGTGCCCCTCCGAGCCGCGAGCCATGGCACCGCCTTGCTCTACCCCGAATACATCCCCACTTCCCCGCTGCAGAAAGCGCTGTTGGCCGCGGGATCTGCCGCAATGGCCCTCTACAACCCATATCGCCACGGTAAGACCGCTCGTGCTCCGCGCTGCCATGGAGGCAGCAAAGGATCCGGGAGCGCCCTTGTTTTGGAAGCTTGGGCAGGTCCCGACCTCTGTCAGAGCTTTCGTTTCCTATGGGTAATTGGAAAATAGACTAGACCAGGGTACCCAAATTTGGCTGCGCCTCATGGTCACCTGGAACATTCGTAAAAATGCAGATGCCTGCGTCTCACCGTAAACTCTTTCAGACTTGGAAAGGTGCGGGAAGAAGGGGCGTGGAATCTGAGCTGCCTTTCGAAACGGCTTTGGGGATATTAACGTCATCCAGCCACAGTGAGAACCTCTGGACTAAATAGATGATTAATATCCACCTAGCGCATGATAACATCCCACTAGAAAATAACTTTTAAGAGGTCAAAGATCATGACTGCCCTGTTCCATTGTATCAGCAGCATTTTGGATAGTGCCTGGCACATAATAAATGCTCAGTAAGTGTTTCCCGAATGTATGACAACATCCTGGGATTCTATGATGCCTTTCTCATCCCTATAATAATAATTTATTATTATTAATTTTTATAAGAGTTTATTTGAGAAAAACTGATGACATATGCCAGGGAGCAAGATCTCAAATGCTCTCTCACCCCCCAGGATTCTTAAGTCTGGAAAGTACTATTACTCCTACTAATGAAAACAGTAATGCTAACTGATTACTGAGCACTTATTTTGGCTAAGTGCTTTATACATATGCATGTTTTTGGTTTCTCATATTAACCTTATGAGAAAGGTGTTATCTGCCCTTCACAAAGTAGAACACTGAGTCTTAGTGAAGCAATTTATATCAGCTCACCTAGACAGTGACTGTACCTGGGCTCTAATGCCAAAGCTTGTACCTGTCGATGGAGACATGATATTTTTATGAAGAGGAATTTTCACACTAAAGGCTAATCAGCTCTTCTGTTTCTGTAAATATACTTGCTGCATAGGCTGTACTCAAAGACTCATCTTCCCTTTTGTTTGTTCTAAGCAACGAATGTAACCGCCTGTACCTCCTAGCAACTTCTCTGCTTTATAACTCTTTTATAACTGCCTGCAACCCATAGGAACTCCCGAGCTTTGTTACCATTTGAGGACAAATTAACCAATTAGCCCATGCCAAATAAGTTCTATATAAGGAATGTTGCAACTGAACCTCGGGCCCAGATCTTCAGAGCGGATCACTGGCATAATAAACCTGAGTTCCCCAACTCTCCGAGTGCTGCTTGGTTTCTCCCCTGTCTGATTTTTGCAACTTTTCTGCAACAGTTATAATGGATGTGAAAGTGATTTATAATCTCTTTAGAGCATCATGCTAACCAGAGCCACCTCTCTCCGGTAGATTAATTATATAATACTAATAATTACAGATATATTGAGCTGTAACTTTGTGCAGGATGATTTGCTGAGCATTTAACGTGAATTCTCATAACTAAGAGGAAGATCTCATCCCTATTTTGTCATTTAGGAAATTAAGACTCAGACCAGGTCAAATAACTTACCTAAGTTCATAGCCTCCATTTGTCCTCATGTCTTTCCTTTCAGACATGGTTGCAGTTCTAGGGGAGACCACAGGACACCGTGCCCTGAAGGTCCTCAGGGACCAGATGAAGAGGGATCCAGAAGGCTCTCAGATCCTACAGTAGGTCCTAGCCCTGCCTGGGGGGGTTAGGAGCATTTTTTGGAGACCCTGCTCACTCTCGAGTCACATTGTGTCAACCTTGTTCCTTGAAGGAACTCTTCTTGATATCCTGGCTCTGGATGGCTGCACAGGCTGGGCACTGCCCAACTCCAGGGGTGCCATTCATATAGACACTACGATGATCCCTGTGTACTATTGTGTGGTGACCTTGGCCCAGTTCCATCCATAGGGCTCTGTCCCATAACATGTGTGGGCTGTACCACCCACCCCTTCCTGTACCGCCCTTTGTGAGTGCCCTGATCACATCTGAGGCTGACTGGCCTCAATTGTGCCCCTGTGGGTGGGAACCATGACCTTAGCTTGCGGTAGTCTAGAAGATGCTCCGCCAGAACTTGTGGCCCCATTGCCACTCTGCCCCTTTACCTCTCACACCTCTACCTTTGTTGGCACCCTCCTAATACTTAAGTCCTAACTTCTGCCTCGCAGGCAGCGTCCCCGGATCTCTTTGTCCACCCTCAACCTGGGCAAGCTCCAGAACCTACCTGAGGGCTCCCTCGGCCGCGAGTATCTCCGTTTCCTGGATGTGAATGTGAGTTTCCAGCTTCTGTGCATTTGGCAGTCACCAGGAAGGTTAGATGAGTGGAATGGGGGTGACATCTCAAGGAAAGAAAAGCAGGTGTGCTTTCAGTCTCTTGTGCCAAAGCTTTGTTTTTTCTTTGGCACAGGTAAATGGGCCTGTAACATCACTGCAATTGATAACACCAGGCAGCATTTGTTAACCTCTTATTGCATGCCAGATGCCAAGGAATATTTAAACCTAGGTCATGCTGTTAACTGCTTCGCTGTGTCCTCCTGTTTCAGAGACACTGCTTTTCCTATGGTATGACAAGTTATGGCATTCTCCAGCCATTCTAGCATTCTACTCACTAGACGCCAGTAGCACCCCCGTAAGTTATAATCACCATAAATATCTCCAGACAATGTCCCCTGGTGGACAGTTGAGAACCATTGCTCTAGAAGGATATTGTCCTTGAAAAAAATAACCTGTTTCCCATACTCAACTGATACTCGTCCATGCCCTATTTTATACCATATCCCTCAGATTTCACCCAGATGCAAGTTATTTAATCAGTGGGAAACTCACCAGGGTCATCTGCCCCAAGTGTCACCCCAGGAGGGACAAGCTGCTTCTGAATTTTCCCCAGAGCCTTTTGTCCTGTTATTATGGAGAGGATGAGACAGCCAGGGCCTCCCTGGGCACCTTGCCCAATCACAGCCCTAGTTGTGGTAACAGCCCTAGAGATTATGACTCTTCTAGAGGATGGAAACCAGCAACCCAAGGAGTGTGAAGTAACACCTTTGCTCCAGAAGAGATTTAGATCAAGGTCCCAGGTGAGGCCACACTCTTTGAGGCTGATCTTGGTAGGAGGTGTGGTCATCCTTGTGGCACTAAGATTACAGGCTTGGGCTCTGGAGTTAAGAGTAGTCCCAGTTAGAATCCTGTCTCCCTTCCCAGCTTTATAGACCTGGACAAGTCAAACGAGGCTCAGATTCTTTATCTGAGGAAAAGGAACCTAATGTTTATCTTCCAGGGCACTTATATGGCTTATTATTGATAGATGTTAAAGCAACTGGCTTTGCAGTCCAACAGACTATTTCGAATCCTGGCAAGTTACTTTATCTCTCTGATCCTCATGTTTGTTATCTGTATCTGAGGGTCATAATAGCATCTACCCCCCAGATGGTGATGAGGATGAAGTATGATAATACATGTAAAGGACATCATACAGGGCAGGCACATAGTAGGGACTCAGTAAATGTAGCCTCTAGCATTATGACCACCTTCAGCCTCACAAAGGAAGTAGAACTCTGTGGAAGAAATCAAGGCCCGTGACCCAATGAGGCCAATGGACACAGACCATAGCACGGAGCTAGCAGCCCCAGAGCAATAAAAACATCAAATCTCTCAGCCTCTGGTCAGGCTGAGGCCATGCTTTGGGTATAGGAAGACCAGGCTATTCCCACTCTGTGCTACTGAGGACTCAGGCAGTAAGTGGATAAAAGGACAGTTGACATCCCTACCTAGGAGTCAGAAAAGTGCCTGGAACTAGCCTTTTACTCATGCATTCAAGAGATGTTTCTTTATCCAGGCCCTAGAGATAAGACTGAGCAAAACAGAGCCAGCCCTGTCCTATGCAAATGAGAGGTTGCTGCAGCACTGTTCATAGAAATAGATAAGAAGCCACATAAGAAATTTAAAGTTTGCTACTAGCTACTTTAATAAAGCAAAAAGAAACAGGCAGAATTAATCTTAATAACATTTTGTTTAATCCAATGTCTAAAATATTATTTCAACATGCAGTCAATATTCTTAAATGATTATGATTTCACATCATTCTCATACTAAGTCTTGAAATCCAGTGCGTATTTTCATGTACAACATTTCTCGATTGGAACTTGTGGCGAGCATAGGTCTAGGAGAGAGACATTAACAATCACATGCACTGAACATCATGACACAATCACATCGAATGCCACAGAAAGATACAGGATACTACAAAAGGCCACAACGTGGGCCTGATCAGTCTGAGGTCAAGAACAGTCTCCCTTTGGAGGGGACCCTTAAGCTGAGTCATAGATGATGAGCAAGAGTTATCAAGGTGGAGATGAGGGTAGTTGGGAGAGAGCACCCTAGGCTTTTGCTTGTGCTAAAATCTTTTTTTTTTTTTTTTTAATTTCTAATTGTGGTAAAAACAAAAACATAAAATTTCCCATCTTAACCATTTTTAAATGGATAGCTCTGTAGTGTTAAGTAGTTAAGTAGTGTTCATATTGTTATGAACCCAACCTCCAGAGCTTTTTTATTTTGTAAAACTGAAACTCTATACCCATTAAACAACTCCCACTTCCCCTTCCTCCCCAGGCTTCTGTGCCATGGATTTCAACAGGTTACACAGGCATGTGTGTGAGTTGGGGTAGGCTGAGAGGCTGCCAAACCCTGCCGGAGGACTCCCCAGTTGGCAGGCGTAGACAGAAGCAAAATCTCCAGAGAGTTCGGTGGGAGTGGTTGGTAGAGTAGAGGAGAAGCTGGCAGGTGGGCTTTGGGAACTGTGGGGAAGGGGGTCTAGGGGAAGTTCACGGTTTTCAGAGGGTCTCCCCAGACACCCGAGCGCCTACGCGATTCGTGGATGACGAGGAGCTAGCATATGTGATCCAGCGGTACCGGGAGGTGCACGACATGCTCCACACCCTGCTGGGGATGCCCACCAACATCCTGGGTGAGTGCTACCTTGCCACCTGCCTCAGGGGGGAGGAGGCTGGCGGGGGGGTGGGACAAGCCAGGCTCTGTCTTCAGGGCCAGGGCAGGGTTCACCTGTCTCTGCCACCCCACTCCAGCATCTGGGCTCCCTCTTCTGACCCCCTCAGAAACTCCTAGGGCCTGTAGGAACCAGCCTGGATGTGGAGTCCTCTGCGTTCTGACTTCAAGCTTCCTTTCCAGCCCTTGTTTCCTTTGACACTTTTCTCGGTCCTTCTCCTCCTCTCCAGGCCAAGTGCCCCAGGGCCCAGCAGCCTAGCCTGGGTATGTCTAATCCCTGGCAGGTTCAGAGAGGAGCAGACATCTCCCTGTTCTCTGCCATGTGTGCCACTGGCTTCTCTTCTGGGCCCTATTCACCTCTTACCCTGCCCCCCAGGGGAGATCGTGGTGAAATGGTTTGAAGCTGTCCAGACCGGCCTGCCCATGTGCATCCTGGGTGCGCTCTTCGGGCCAGTCCGACTCAGTGTCCAGTAAGTTCTCAAGTGGCCAGGGCTCCAGGAAATGGAAGAGCATGCAGCCTTCCTGAGCAGCCCATGGCGGAGGCCAGGGTGGAAAGAACCGGGTGGAGAGGTGAAACTGACGTGGCATGGGGTCTCCAGGGCGATGAACGAAGCCTGGACGTTGCATGGACCTTAGGGTCTTTCGGGTCATGATGATGCAGTCAGGGGTCTCTCGGGCCCGGCCTCAGTCCAGGTCATGATGATGCAGTCAGGGCTGGTGGCGGTCTAGCATCAGTTAGCCCTCGATTTAAACCTGGGCGTTGGCATGTTCCAGGTATGTGGCTCTGGGTACAGGATTTTAACATCACTGAGCTGCTGTTTCCTCATCTGAAAAGTGGCAATAACTACCTTCTTTGGTCTGTGTGAGGACTAACTGAAAAGATGCACGTTGACTGCTGGGTACATAGCGTGCCCGCCCCTCAGGGCCTAACATTTTTTTTCTTCCCTGCTGCCCCACAGGCACCTTGAAGTCTTGGTCACGGAGCTCATCCCATGGGCAATTCAGAATGGGCGCAGGGCCCCCTGCGTCCTCAACCTATACTACGAGCAGCGCTGGGCGCAGTCCCTGAGGGCCCTGCGGGAGGAGTTGGGCATCACAGACCCCCCTATACACGTGGGTCGGGCCTAGGCCTTGTGCCGCTGGGCCAGGAGGGCCCGCCTGGCTCCCCACCCCGACCCCTACCACTTCCCCAGCGGGCAGAGGGCTCCTTTGCCACTACCTTTTGATTGTTTTCTTTGAACCCTGACCATTGGACATCATTTATCAGAATTCGTCCTGACCACTGCTGAGTGACTTTGAGGGCTAACCCAGGAGGGAGCAGGCAGTGGGGCTCCTAGGGGAGCCGGGAGCTGCCCAAGAGAACCACATGTGAATAGGAGTCAGTCATCCCAGCTCGTGCAGGGATGTCTCAGGTCCGCAACCCCCGTTCCAGACCCCTCCCTGCCACAAGTGAGGACTATACCAGTTCCAAAGGCCAGAGAAAGAGGTCGATGGGAATAGGAAGCTCTGTCTCTATCTGAATAAGCTCCATCAGGTCATGTGCCTGCTTCTCCTGCCTTCACCCAGTGCAGGCTGACTCTTGAGCCCCAAAGGCAGATGTCCCTTCCAGCCTGTGTTTTAGCTGCCTGCCCCATCTCCTCTGGTCTGAAATCGGGTAGACTGGGATTTAAGCTCCCAGCCCTGCACGGTTTTCCAGCAGAGAGACTTGGGGCAAATCCTTTTCCCTCAGCTCATTTCATAATCAGTGAAATAACCTGTCTCCTATGGTTATTGTGGGAGTTTCGTGAGTGCCACTCAGTACAAAGAAAGGTTTCATTGGAAGAAGCCAAGGAGCTGGAGCAATCGTGCTATTGTGTTTACCTGTGGAGGAGGCAACCGTGAGGCAGGTTTATTTTAGAGTGGCAACCAGGTATTTTCCTTGGGTCGGAGCCAGGGAGTGCAGACAGCCAGGGTGAAAGGTACTGTTGACAAGTGGGTGCCCCTGTCAACCACATGAACCAGATGCGCTCCCAGAATGTCAGCCTTTGAGTCTGGGAGAGGCATCTCTTCGTGTGGATGGGGCAGCTAAGGCCCAGAGATGGGCAAGGAATCTCCTGGAGTAACTAGAATACAGACTGCAAATGCCTCCTGTTTGCTTTTCCTATGGATAACAGCTACGGTGTACTTACAGCTGTACTAAGTGCCAGGCAGTGCCAAGCACTTAGAGGCATTATCACACTGACATCTCCAACAACTCACGGAGAGAGGTGGTACTATTTTATTTTACTAACGAGGCGATAGGAACAGAGCTAAGGCTGGAACCAGAGGTGTCCGAATACCTGCTCAACACTGCCTTGTGCCTACCACATTCCAGTCCAGGGCGCCCAGTGACAGGGAGGGTGTAGGAGGCTGGAGACCAACCGTGGAACCTCTTTTCAAGAGGGAAGCCTTGTCCAAACTCTGAATTCCTGCAGAAAGAGGAAGGGATTAGGGTGAGCTCCTCACGCCTCATAGATTTTTGCAGTATAGGCCACCTTTCTGGACCTGCCAGCTGTTTCCATCGCTTGCCAGAATCCCAGACACGCCCATCCCCAGGTCAGTAAAAGTCAACAGTGTCAAAGTTGAAGAAAGATTGGACCCAGATGGCCTCAGCCCGGCTTGGTAGCCCACCTGCTCCAGCCCCTTGGTGCCCCCATGACCCTGGGCCTTTACGGCGTTCAAGAGACAGGTGCTAAGCATCATGATTACCTGGGAGTGGAGTCCTGTCTGCAGATCATAAGGTGGCATTTTTGTCACCAGCTCACAGCTGGAGAAAAATTACTGGCGATAGCTACTACTTAACTGAGTTCTTACCACGGCCCATGAGGCTCTGTCAACTCCTGCCTAGAAACTTCCATTCATCTCAATAAACCACACTGGCCTTCTTCCTGTCTTTGTCCTCAGGTCATTACATAGCTCTTCGTCATTAATACATGTGCTCAAACGTCACCTCAGAGGCCTGCCTTGACCACCCCACCCAAATCCCCTTCCCCTCCGTCACATCGCCTTATTTTCTTTGGAGTGCTTACCACTGTGACATTTATTTCCGAGTTCATGGCCGCTCCAAGAGGGCAGGGTCCTTGTTCTTTCCCTTCCATGCTGGGACAGTGCTTGGCACACAGCAGGGGCTGCTTCACCTTGAAGGAATGGAAGTCGAGCCCCTGCGCTTTCCTGTCCCCACAGCGTGCAGGATCGTACTCGGTCGGGCCCCACAACCTCACTTCATGAAGACCCTGGTCTCGGGTTCGGGGAGGATCCTAGGGTCACACAGCTCGAGTATGGTGGAGCAAGCCTGTCCCGGGACGCACATGTCCTCTCCCAGTAGCCAAGGGGAAGCTCCCTCTCCCTCTGCCTAATAAAAGGCACATGTAGCTGACCCCAGAGTAGTGTTTCGGGGCACAGGCTCTAAAGGCAGGCAGACCTGGGCCGCCACTGACCAGCTCTGCAAACTTATAGTCACATCACCCCTTCAAGCCTCTGTCTCATCTCTAAAATGGGGAGAGTACATGCCTATCTCACAACAGTTCCACTGTGCATGTGTGGTGCTTTAACACATAGTAAGCACTCAGGAAACAAGCTGACATTTTCCAGGAAGGCCCCTTGAGGCCTCTAAAGTCATCCGGTACACAATAAGCCAGAGGTATTTATTTTGTACACACCCAGAGTGGGTGAACTTAGCTCAGAGGTCATTAATGCCACATGCAACTGAATGTTTATGGGGTAAGCACCTACTGTGTGCCAGGAGCCAAACCACTTCAGCCCTCTGGGGAGGTTTAATTCAAGTAGGCCAAATGTCAGTCTCCGGTAAGTCCAGAGATTCAAGTGCTGGACTTAGTTCCCTAAAGCAGGACAGATGGGGGTCATGTCAGTGGAAAGGAGCCCACTGCGAGGTCAGCCTAAGCTCAGCCTGTCCCACAAATGACAGCACCCAGCTCCTGTCCTTCTGAAGAACCCTCAATGGCTCTTCACTGCACTGGGATAGACAGCCTGGCTCATGAAGGCCTTTCCATTTACTTCCCACTACATGTACCCTGCCCATGTATCCCGATGCACAAGCCCACTAGTTTTCAGTGATTTCACAAATACCTTGTAAGCATTTGCCAAATGCTGGGGGTTCTGCAGTGATCAAGACAGCTGCATCCCCCTCCCTTGGAGCTGAGCAATTATGGCAACTGAGGGCCTTCCATGTGCCACTCCTGTGTTAAGAACTTGACAAACATCGTCTCATTAAATCCATACCCAGCCCCAGGAGGCAGGGACTGTGATGACTGTATCCCCTCCTGTAAATCAGGACACTGAGGCTTCCTGGGGAGAAGTGATCTGCCCAATGTCTCACAGCCAGGGCTGGGAGTGCAACCCAGGTGTATCAGACTGCAAGGCAAAGGAGACATCACAATAATGTGTGGTGGGTGTGAACAGAAGTGCAATGGGCACTTGGTGAAGAAAAAGCTATTCTAGTGGCCTACTCGCCACCTGCCCTCTCTGTGTGTCCAACTAGACTCTAAGCAACTTGAAGGCATACTGTCTCGTTCCTTCTGTGTCCCCTTGCACCTACTCCTCAGGCCTGTTCCAGTGTCTGGTGGGGTAATGGCTCTCTGGCTTCACCAATGTGACTAGCCTAGGCGGAGAAGAGGGGGCTGGTCACTACCGCCATCCTCCACATTCTCACTTGCCCTCTTTGCATATGACCTCAGCAGTGGGTGAAAATAATCATATTTGTACTCCTCGATCCTGGTATGGATAAGGTCAGAGCCCCCAATTCACTCTCCCTGTCATTCATTCAACAAACATTCATTGAGCTTCTGTTATTTGTTAAGCTCTAGGGTAACAATGAGGTAATCTTCATGTCTAGAATTTATAGGTGCTTTGCAGTCAATGAGCCTGTAGGCTACAATAACGTATCAAGTGCTAATTCAAATGCTCCCCGCGATTCTCCACACACACCCTATGCGGTAAGCATTATTAGTATGTCCTCATTTTTATATATAAGAAATGGAGGCTTTGAACTTTCAACTGAGAAGCTGACCCAAGTCTTTTGGATGCCCATAAACACACTACCACACTGCCACCTGAATGTAACACCCATATGGAGGTAGTGCTCTAATTCACCTAGGTCTCCCAAAAGATACACCCTATATTCTGGAAGAAATAGATCCCAATACGTATCAGACTAAGGGCTCCGTATTCTCCGCCAACGTTTCGGGTGAGGGCGCTCTATCCCACGTCTGGACGCCCGGGGACTTGGGGTTGGGGGCCCATACAAAGCCTACCGGTCTGTATGTTCCACACCCTGTGGGAAGTCTCCGTGGCTGGGCGGGAGTGTGCCGCACGGACTACAACTCCCAGAGTCCTGCGCGGGGCCCCGCCCGAAGCCGTCGCGCGCGCAGAGCGGGCTGGGCCGGGAGGTGTCCCGCGCGCTAAGGTTGCGCTGCGCCACTGGATCTGCAGTTTGCCGGCGGCGGGGAAGGCGCGGGAGGTGGTGTTGCTGGCCGGCGTAGCCGGTTTGGGCTACTGGAGGCGGGCGGGGAGGGAGCGCCGAGGGCGGGCGGGGCCGGGAGGCGGGCGGGGCTGGCCGGGCCGTGTAGGGCGCAGACCCGACTCTGCGCGCCTAGGGGCGGCCCATGCTCCCAGCGCTCCCCACTCAGCTGCAGCAGCCGGGCCGCATCTGGACCAGGCGCCGCGCGGCGGGTCCGACGCCGGGTGAGTATAGGCTAGGCCAGTGGGTCCCCGAGAGTAGGAATATGCCCTGCTGGGTCGGGAGATGATGGTACCGGCCTGGGGCGGGAGGCGTGCCCGGCTGTTTTGTCTCCTTGCCGGGCCCTCTGCTGCCCTGGCTCTTTAAAAGGGGCCAGGACTACCCGCAGTGACCTGAAACGGGAGCACGAGGGAACTGGACATCCCCTTCTCTCCACTCCCCATCCTCCAGCCTTCCAGGACGGGTTCCTGCCTCTGCTCTGGCGGGTTCTGGGAGGCCAGAGGTCTGAGGACCTTGGAGATCCTGGGTTTGGAGTTGGGGGCCCGATTCAGTACTCCTCCCGACTTTTGCTTTTCGCATTGAGGAGGGGAAGATGGTCTGTAAGGTCTCCCTAAGGTCCAGACCATGTCCTTATCCTGGCTTGGAAGCTCTCAGGCTACATCACAGCCGTGACCTTCACCCTCTCCCCAGGAATAAGAGGTCTCAAAGGAAAACAGCCCTTTCTGCTGCCCCCTTGAGCAAATCCCTAAAGCGCCAGAAATAGAACCCAAGAATCCTAATCTCAGCCCAGCCAGCTGTTCCCCTCCCCCTGAGCCCAATTCCCAAATATTCATCTGAGTGCCTTACTGAGTGTGTTTGTGGGGATACCTTCAAGGCCTTCTTCCTCTCCCTCAATTACCTTTCCTCTCTGGGTGGTCACCTCTCAGGTACCTCCAGGTTCCATCGCCCTCTATCGGCCAGCAGAGACATGACGCTGCCGGAGCCTGTGGACAGGGACTGAGCAGGGCCCCTTCCCGGGAAGCTGCCCTTTTGGGTATTGTGACTTGGCTTGGGCCTCCAGGTGGGGAGTTCAGCCAGAGGTGCTTAAGTCAGTACCCCCGTCCAAGCCGTTTTGGTTAGGGACCCTGGATGTCAGGAGAGTGGACTGTTCCGTTTTGGCTGGAAGGGATTCTGAGAGCAAGTCTCAGTACACACATTGCACAGAGCAGGGGACTAAGTCCTAACGTGGGAAAAGGACTTGTCCAGGGTCACTCAGAGAGTCACAGGCAGAGATGGGACTAAGGGATTAGAACCCAGCTGCCTGCCTGTCACCCTTGGAACTCCTCACCTCAAGTCCCTTGTTTCTAGTCTTACAGACAGCCCTGGAAAGGGACCCCGTCCTCAACCACCCCACTTAGTATTGCGAAGCCTCACTACAGGTTGACCCCTTGGGGTCATAGTGGCCTGGCTGATTGGGCCAGGAGGTGGAGGACCTAGACATTTTAATCCACTGACTGCCCTATGCCCATAGGCCACAATGCTGCTTGGGGCATCCCTTGTGGGAGTGTTGCTGTTCTCCAGTCTGGTGCTGAAACTGCCCTGGACCCAAGTGGGGTTTTCCTTGCTGCTCCTCTACCTGGGATCTGTTGACTGGCGCTTCGTCTGGGTCTTCATCAAGACCATCAGGCGCGATGTCTTGTGAGTACCTGGTCTAGCCCTTCCTGGGGTCTCCCTTGCCACGCTGGTCTCCTAGTCCCAAAATCTCCTCAGACCAGACCCATGGCCTCTACCAGTATAGGGCATCTGGGCCCCACACCCTCTGCCCCACACCTTTCCCCTGATACTGATATTTGGTACCTCTATCTCCAAGGTCAAAGTCTCCTCCTGGGGAATTTCCCTAACTTGGTGTTCCTTAGCCTAGGGCAGACTTAGGGGCCCTGGTCATAACAAAGAACACTGAGTGTGTTGAGGATACATCTGCAAGGGGTCCTGAGGATATGCTGTAGCTTGTGAGAGGGTGACAGGGAACCCTGTGTGAAAGGTCCTGTCCTCAACTTGGCATGAGTCTGAGAGGGCACTGAGTTCTAGAGCAGGGCCTCAGGTCAGGTGTCTGGGAGACCCTGTTTCCTAGAGAAAGTTAAATATGGTCCATAGGGATGTCCTGTACCTGAAACACCTCCTGCCACCTTTTCTGTGCCAGGTGTCAGGCTGGCTCTGGGGCCTAGAGAGGAATAAGACAGACTCAGCCCCAGGCCAAGCTCAGGCTGGTCAGGGAAATAATTGGGGGACACAGTAAATCCCTAAACTGGCAGTGCCATATGGGCAGAGACCTTGGCCGTCTTGATCACAAGTGTCCCAGTGCCCAGCGTGATGACCCACACCCAGGACACGCAGCTCAGCATTTGTCAATCTGAGTTGATTGCAAAAAGAGGTATCCAGTGGCCACTGCAGGAAGGTGGTGGCAGCAGAGAGCTGTGAGAGCATAGATAAGGACACATGACTCGAGAGGGCCTTGGGGATTTGGAGGCCTCCTGGAGGAAAAGTAGGTACCTTGAAAAAAGAGAGAGACCTCAAGATGGTGGCAGCAGGGGATTCCAGCCAGAGAATTTAGCATCAGCAAAGGCGTAAAGGCTGGTAAGCTGGGGGAATTCAGGGGATCAGAGGTGGCGGGGCTAGGGCAGGAAAGGGGGGCGTGGCCAGAGATTCCACAAACGCTTGCTGAACATCTCATGCCTGGCACTGACCAGGGCCTCGGGGACAAGGTGGTGAACAGGAGGACACTGGACAGATCACAAACGCATCCTTTATTTACTGTGGCATTGCAAGGGGAGGCTTGAAGTTGAGAGAAGTATGATATGGCATGGTGGGAGGCCCCAGAAGAGGAGTTTGGACCTTGACTTGGGCCTTGGAGTTCCAGAAGGCTCTGAGAGAGCAGCAGACTCAGAGCAGACATAGAGGGCGGTAGGAGTTGAATTCGGGAGAGAGAGGACTGAGCTTCGAATCTCAGTTCTGCCACATTCCGCCCATGAAGCCAGGGCAAGTCATGTGCCAGCAGAGCCTCAGTTTCCTCCCTGTACAGGGGAGGGAGTAATTGCCTTGGTCCCTGGTGTTCCTATGCGACATCAGAGAGCCGGTGTGTGTAACGGTGCCCAGCGTACAGCTGCTGGACCACGGGAGTGCTGCAGGCAATTGGGCTCAGGTACACAGGGCAGCAACCTGGGCCAGGTTATTGGGAGCCCGACTCCCAACCCAGCGTTCACAGCTCTCTTACTGGCTCCCACACAGTGGTGGCATGGTGCTCCTGAAGGTGAAGTTGAAGGTCCAGCGATACCTGCGGCAGCGGCAAACAATACCCATTTTGTTTGCCTCTACGGTACAGCGCCACCCCGACAAGACAGCCCTGATCTTCGAGGGCACAGACACCCACTGGACCTTCCGCCAGCTGGATGACTACTCAAACAGCGTGGCCAACTTCCTGCAGGCCCGAGGCCTGGTCTCCGGCGACGTGGCTGCCCTCTTCATGGAGAACCGCAATGAGTTCGTGGGTCTGTGGCTGGGCATGGCCAAGCTGGGTGTGGAGGCGGCACTCATCAACACCAACCTCCAGCGAGACACCCTGCGCCACTGCCTGACCATTTCCCGGGCCCGAGTACTCATCTTTGGCAGTGAGATGGCCCCAGGTGAGTCCCCAAAGGGGCGGGGGACAGGCAGGGAGCTCCACAGGACCTTGCACAGACCGCAGCCCCCCTCCAGCCCTGTGAGGGGCTGTGTGGCTCATAGGTTAAGTGCAGAAGCCCTGCAGTCAGATGGCCTGATAAGCCGGAGACTAGAATTCTCTGTGCCTCAGTTTCCTCATTGTAGTACTCATCTCACGTTATTCTAAAGAAAGTACTTCACCTGAAGCACCAACAAAGTGGCTGATGCTCGGTGAGCCCTCAGATTTATAGTAACCATCCGTGATTGATTAGGTCTCATTTCCTCGTCTATACTATGAGAACGAGAATCCATTCTCGCTCTCCTACAGAGCTTATGTTTTATTTGCTGCCACATTGGGCACTGAGTGAGTGCTGAGCGCGGTGCTTTATAAGAACAGCTCTAATCTTCACAAAGCCTGGTGCGGTAAGGATTGTCATCCGCTTTATAGATGAGGAGACCAAGGTTCAGAGTGGTGTGAGGTCACACGGCTGCCAAAGCCAGATTTGACTTTGGACTTGACCACAGCATCCCTGTTCTTTCTCTCCATGCTGCTGTGGTTTGTGCGATAATGAACAGGGAAGGTTATTAAGGTGCTAAAAGGGGAAGAGAAAGGATACAGCAGGGAGAAAGGAGAGGGTTGGACAAACCAAGAGCAAGTGGGGTCAAGTGGGCCCAGGGGTGAGTTTCTGGACAACTATAATGCACTGGGGAGGCTGAGAGAAGGTTCTCATTGTCTAAAGAGGCTGGGGGGCTGCTGGCCTCTGAGCCTCAATCCTCCCTTCCAAGGCGACCCCCAGGGACTAGCGCCATGTAGTGGTTAAGGGCACAAACTTTGGTGTGAGATAGAGTTGGCGTTGATTCGCAGCCCCTGCACATTCTAGTTGTAAGCAAGTACCTCTCATATCAGAGCCTCAGTTTCCTCATCTGTAAAATGGGCTAATATCGGTACCTACTTCTAGGGTGTGTGAGCAGGAGAATAGATGTTAAGAGTTCACTGTGTGATTGATTAGCCAGCAGCTAATGGGAGCTGTTGCTCCAATCAGCGTTTTCCTTGTAATGAGGTCCTGGGAGCCTTACCCATCGCTTTCCCCCCACCTAGCCAGGCTCCCCTGGCAACATGCTCAGCCCTGACATGAGCAGAGGTCCTAGGAACACAAGGTTTCTTGGCCTGCCTGCTGATCTGCCCTGTTTCCCCTGCAGCTGTCTTTGAGATCCATGCCAGCCTGGACTCTTCACTGAGCCTCTTCTGCTCCGGTCCCTGGGAACCCAGCTCAGTGCCGCCCAGCACAGAACACCTGGACCCCCTACTGGAAAATGCGTGCAAGCACCTGCCCAGTCGCCCTGACAAGGGCTTCGTAGGTGGGCTTCCCGCCCCACCCCCCACCCCCGCACCACTTCCACAAAGGGCTTCCGAGATGACCAAGGACAGATCACTGGCCTCAGGGCCAGAGGCCTGGGTTCTGCAGACTTGCATGTGACCTATAGTGAGTCACATCACCTCCCTTTTTCCATCTGGGAAAATGGGGACGGTAACCCTCCGGTTACTGTGCAGCTAAATGAGATGATGTGTATGAGAGTGCCATGATGGCACCATAAAATCCTTCGTGGATGCGTAACGTGCAGCATCATGGGGCGCCCAGGAACTGGCTGTGTCTGAGTTTCGTTTGGAGTTGGGCCAGGGGCAAGACCCTTCAAATATTCCTCCAGCACCCGTTCAGTGCAGGCCCCTGTTGGGCTGTGATCCTTCCCTGCACTGGGCTGCCTTCCTCTCCCCTCCTCCAGGGAGCTCCCCCACACACATCCTGCCTTCTCGCCTCTCTTCCTCTGCACTGCCTCGTGAAGCCCAGAGCCATCTGATGGCTCAGAGCTTGGGCTACTTTATACACCAGCTCTACTGCTTCCTATGTGCGAACCCAAACACCTGAGCTGCCCTCTGAACCTCAGTTCCCATGGCCATGAGATTGGGGATGGTAACAGAACCTATTTTATGGAGCAACTTTGAGGATTGAAAAAGATGCAGCGGGGAAATTAGGGTGTGGCAGGAAGTGCTCAGTAACTGGTCATTGACTTCATTGTGGTCATTTAAACTTTGTCATATGCAGATCTTATCTCCTGGTGCTTTTGTAAGCCACTTGAGGCCAGGGACTCTGACTGGTTCAGCCTGGTGCCTTCATGGTGCACAGCCCAGAGCTGGCATACAGCAGACATCTAGAAAACAGGTGATGGTTAATATAGAGTCATCCCATGGCTTCCTGTAACTTCCAGCCTGGTGGGGCTGAGCCTCATACGGAAACCATAATGTGACAGTCCCTGGATTGGGCTGCAGGGTGGCAGAAAGAAATAGTCAGTGGTCACCACCCTGTTTCCTGCAGGTGATGCCTCCCCACACTCTAAGACATGGGGTAGGCATCACCTCCTCTGAGAAGCCCTCCCTGGTGTCACCTCCCCTCCCTGAAGCCTGGGTCAGATGCTACCACTGGGCTTCAACAGGCCCTGTGCTTCCTGGCACTTTGTGCTCAGAATGCCTCTGTTCTCATCTGCTTGTCCCACTTGGCTGCAACCTCCACCAGGGCAGGGCCTGTCCCCATCTTAGTCACTGATGTCTGGCACAGAGTGAGGGCCCAGAAAAAGTTTGATGAAGGTACGGATGCATTAGAGCAAAGTGTGATGTCTGGGGTCATCAGAGTAGGCTTCCTGGAAGAGGTGTGATGGAGTAGGCATTAAACGATGCACATGTACGGATGTCCATCTCTCTGACTCCATGCCGAGCCCTGTGCTGCACGCCTCTCACAGCCACTTGTGTATCTGTTTTCTTCAGATAAGCTCTTCTACATCTACACATCGGGCACCACGGGTTTGCCCAAAGCCGCCATTGTAGTACATAGCAGGTAAGGGGCAGATCCCTGTGGGGAGAGCTGGGGGTGACGGGGCCTGAGAATCTACCCTCCTGCCTTTCCAGGGGCCCACTGAGCCTTCTACCCTCGGCTTCCCAGGTATTACCGAATAGCTGCCTTGGTGTACTATGGATTTCGCATGCGGCCTGATGACATTATCTACGACTGCCTCCCGCTCTACCACACAGCAGGTACCCTGGGCCCACCCCTCAGCCTCCAGCACCCCCAGAGCCTCAGGAACCCACCCCTCTTGGCAGGCAGCATGCAGCAGTAGAGACACATGAGCTTTGGAGTTAAATCAGGGTTCAAGTTCAGACATAGCCATTGACTGGAGCTCTGAATGAGGATGGCCACCCCAGTCTGAGGGTGTGTGTGACCGTGTCTCACAGGGCACCTGGGCAGGTCTGACCATCAGTTCATTTTCACGGGTGGGCATGGCCTTGCTGCTTGGTCTTAGGGGCTTAAAGGAAGACAGATGGAATAAATATAGTGCTTAGAGTCAGGGATGAATGATGGGAACCCTCCTGACTCTGTACAAGAAATGGCATGATGAGTGTGAGAGAGGCAAGGAGCGGGAGCTGGGCTCAAGGGAAGAGCCCAGTGATGGCCGGGAAGGTCTGCCGCTGGAGGAGGGGCACCCAGGACAGGCAGGTTAGCACAGTCCCCCCAGCCGGATGGCAGCATTACGGGTATTAGAGCAAGAACAAGGGGCCGGCTTCAGATGCTCTGGGGAGCAGACTAAAGAGTGTACATCTGATCCCATGAGGAACCATAGAAGGTGTCTCACTAGGGGAGAGAGATGATCATTAGTGTTGGAGGGAGAGGACAGGAAAGAGACCAGGGGAAAGGGCCTTTGGCTGGACAAGAGGCGGCTCTGGAGGGAAGGGTGTCCCATCTCCCTGAGCTCCGGGGCCCACTCTGCCTACAGGAAACATCGTGGGGATCGGGCAGTGCCTGCTCCATGGCATGACAGTGGTGGTCAGGAAGAAGTTCTCAGCCTCCCGGTTTTGGGATGATTGTATCAAGTATAACTGCACAGTGAGTGAGAGGGAAGCGGATGAGCCATCCCTTCCCCTGTGACCCTCCCACCAGCCCCGCCCAGGGACAGCTGCCTTATGACGACTGAGCAGCCTGTGTTCACTGAGGAGACCGAGGGGAGGGACAGGACTCATGGGTAGGGGCCTGAGGGACTAGGAGGTGCGAAGTGACAGCGACTTCGGGGGCCCAGACACACACCAAGTCCACCCTCAGATTGTGCAGTACATCGGCGAACTGTGCCGCTACCTCCTGAACCAGCCGCCCCGGGAGGCAGAAAACCAGCACCGGGTGCGCATGGCACTTGGCAACGGCCTCCGGCATTCCATCTGGACCAAATTTGCTGGCCGCTTCAACATCTCCCAGGTGGCTGAGTTCTATGGAGCTACTGAGTGCAACTGCAGCCTGGGCAACTTCGACAGCCAGGTGCGTCCAGGTTGGGGACACAGATGGGCCACGGATGGGCCACAGAAGGCACTGGCAGCAGAGGGGAGGGCAGAGTTCCAGCGAGGGAGTGTGGGTGCCAGAGCGTGCGCACGGGTGCATGCGCACACACACACTCACGCACACACACACACACACACACACACTGTCCCGTTTGGGGCCTGTGCTGGAGAGCCTAGGCCGAAGTCTTGGCCTTTACAGGTGGGGGCCTGTGGCTTCAACAGCCGCATCCTGCCCTTCATATACCCCATCCGCCTGGTACGTGTCAACGAGGACACCATGGAGCTGATCCGGGGGCGCGTGCGCACACACACACTCACGCGCGCACACACACACACACACACACTGTCCCGTTTGGGGCCTGTGCTGGAGAGCCTAGGCCAAAGTCTTGGCCTTTACAGGTGGGGGCCTGTGGCTTCAACAGCCGCATCCTGCCCTTCATATACCCCATCCGCCTGGTACGTGTCAACGAGGACACCATGGAGCTGATCCGGGGGCCCGATGGTGTCTGCCTTCCTTGCCAGCCAGGTCTGCCCCAGGGTTGGAACTGGGGATCAGAGGGGGTGGGGTTGGCCCAGGATGGGGGTAGGGCATGGGTGGGTAAGTAATCCTGTTCTGATCATTGGCCATCAGTTAGCTCTTCTCTTAGGGCGACAAGTCATTTATTTCTGCACCCACCCATCCTGTCCTTCACCATCTCATCTTTCAGTCCACCCTTTCCTTCACCGTTCCGTCCGTCATCATCACCGGTTTATTCATTCACTTTCACGTTGAAGACCCTGGGTCCAGGCCACCTGGGATGATCTTAGGTCAGCCCCTTAGCTCCGTGTCTGAGTCCCCACATCTGTGGTGGGACTGATGGCAGCACCACCTCATGGGGTGGCCCTGAACATGGGGCTCTCTGAGCAGAGCCAGGAGCCCAGGGAGTGCTGGCTCTGCCTAGACTGTCCGCGTAGAGCGCGGCCACCCTTTCTTCTCTTTGTTCCTCTTTCCATCTGCTCAGCTGACCGGGCATCGCTGAGCGCCTACATGTGCCAGATTTGCCAAGGGAAGCTCCCTGCCCTGGGGGGGTCTCCCAGGCTAGGGGGAGAAGGGTGTTTCTGTGGGAAGCAGTGTGACCGGAAGTCATATCAAGAGTCAGGGTGCATTTGGGGGTTGGGGAGGCCGGCGGAAGAGGTCACCCGGGGTAGATCTGACCCCACCTTCCCTGCGCCCAGGTGAGCCGGGCCAGCTGGTGGGCCGCATCATCCAGCAGGACCCCTTGCGGAGCTTCGATGGCTACCTCATGCAGAGTGCCAACAATAAGATCGCTTCAAATGTCTTCAAAAAGGGGGACCAGGCCTACCTCACCGGTGGGTGGGCACCTCTCCCCAGCCTTTGGCAGCCCGTCAGAGGGGGAGGGTGTAGAGGAATGAAAGCGCCTCTCCTACCTGCAGAGAGCACCTCTCCAGGACCCGCCCCCCAGGCCGAGCGCCTACAGTCAGGCAGATCCTTGGGATCCAGCAAGGACTGCCTGGCCCAAGCGCTGCCTCACATAACCCCTCCCTAGGCGACGTGCTGGTGATGGACGAGCTGGGCTACCTGTACTTCCGAGACCGCACGGGGGACACGTTCCGCTGGAAGGGTGAGAACGTGTCCACCACCGAGGTGGAGGGCATACTTAGCCGCCTGCTGGATATGGCCGATGTGGCCGTGTATGGTGTCAAAGTGCCAGGTATCTCTGTGTGGGAGGTGCCAGGTATGTGTGGGGAGGCGCCCCCAGGGGCCACTGCCAGCAGCTCACTGTCCACTCTACTGCCTTCAGGAACTGAGGGCCGGGCCGGAATGGCAGCTGTGGCCAACCCTGCGGGCAGCTGTGACCTTGAGCACTTGGCCCAGCTCCTGGAGAAGGAGCTGCCTCTATGTGCCCGCCCCATCTTCATGCGCTTAATGCCTGAGCTGCAGAAAACAGGTCTGTCCTCACCCCCTCCCTCTGCTCCACCTCCCAGGTTCTGGGCCTAGGCCCCTTCCTGATTCCTTCTGGAGAGACCTGCGTGGTTCTCCCTTGACTCACCTACAGCCTCGCCTAGTAGTTGGTAAACTGACCTCCCCATGTACAAGCGAGCAGACCAAGCCTTCAGAGAGAAGGTTCACCTGTTCATTAGTGGAGCAGATACTGAGTACTTACTGTGTGCTAGGCACTGTGCTAGGTCTTCGGGACATAGGTAACATTCTGACAGGACCTGTGCCTTCTTGGGGCTTCTGGAGCAGTAGGGGAGGCAGCCTCAGGACGGGGAATTCCAAGGTAATGAATGGAATACAGATCAAACTAACAGAAAAGCAAATGAAAGGGCGTCAGATGACCAGGAAGCTTCCCTGAGGACGTGTGGTTTAAGCTGAGACCTGAATGACAGGAGGACTTCATGGAGGTGGGAGGCATTCCAGGCTGTGGGAACAGCAAGTGTGAAGTCCCTGAGACAGGAAAGGACTTGGACACTGGAGGAGTGATAGGAGGTCCCCAAAGCTGGAGCCAGGGAGAGGGGTGGACAGTGGATTGAAGTGGGAGGGAGGCCAGCGGGGGCCAGAAGCCCGGGGCCCTGTGGGTTGGGCTGGGGGCAGGAGGAAGCCACAGAAGTGTTTGAGCAGGGTAGTAATCTGGTCAGATTCGTGTCCTACAAAACCCTCCGGCTGCTGCATGGAGAGGGGGAGAAGGCTGCAGGCGGCCCTGGGTGATGAGTTTGCAGCTATGGTCGTCTTCCAAGAGAGAGGTGAGTGGTGAGTCCACTGCCACATGGCAAGGCGGTGCCATCCTTGTCTGTTGCTCCACTGGTGGCTCTCAGCAGTTTCCTGGCGGGCAGTAAGTGCAGACTCCCACCCTGCTCTCCTCAGTCTTTGCTGCCCTGTCCTGGGGTCTCCCTACTGCTCAGCCTCGGGCCTCATCCACCTGGCCACCGCCCACATGGTCACCACATGGTCACTTGATGGAAGGCCTTCCCCAACTGATATGGTCCTTGACAGATAGTGGCCCCTGGGAGCACCTGAAACAGTAGAGAGGGCCTGATGGAGACACTGGTGCTGGCCTCCTGACGGAGACTGCAGGCTCCCTGAGGACTGGAGGATAGCTGTGACATCTCTGTCCAGGGGAGGCAGGGGAACTGTCAGAACTTGGCTTTCAAGAGAGGCTTTGCTACAGAACAGACACCCTCAAGTGTACTTAGGGCTTAAAACAACCATTTGCTCACAATTCGTGGGTCAGCCACTGAGGTTAAGTTCAGCCGAGTGGTTCTTCTGTTGGCCTCACCTGGGTCAAGGTGCTGCCATCACTCAGAGACTCAGCCGAGGCTAGAGGTTCTAAGACGGCCTCTCTCGTCTGGCTCTGCTGCTTGGTTCTGCAGCACTATGCGACAGCTCTCTGCAATGGAAACGTTCTGTGTCTGCGCCGTCTGACACAGCGGCTGCTGGCCCCGCGTAGTTATCGAGCACTTGAAATGGAGCTAGTGTGACTGAGAAATTCCATTTTGTTTAATTAATTTAAATAGCCACTTATGGCCAGTGGGTACCCTATTGGACAGTGCCAGACTAGGGGGCCTTTCCTGGTGTGGTTCATTTGTGCTCCCTGTGGCTTCTCATCCTTGAGGCTAGACTGGTCCCGGAAACCTCAAGAGGGTGGAGGTGGAAGCTGCAAGACCCCTTGAGACCTAGACCACTCAGAACTCTCGCAGCATTGTTTCTGCTGTATTCCATTGGTTAAAGCAAGTCATAAGAATTTAGGTAGGGATTGAGAAAGACTCCAGCTCTTGCTGGGAGAACTGGCCAAGCCCCATGGCAGAGGAGTGTGCCTATGAAGAGAGGAGGAATCTGTGGCCACTTTTGGCAATCATACCTGGATTCATATGCCAGCTCCACCACTTTCTAGCTGTGTGACTTTGGTCCAGGGATGTGCCTCTCTGAGCATCAGTTTTCTCATCTGTACAGTGGGGCTAATACCACCAATTGATGTATAATTTATTTGTAACGTTAAGAAAAAAACGGTGCTGCTGAAACTATTTCAGAGATGTTAAAATCTGAAAACGTGCATCTTAGAATCCGTAGAATACGGTTGAACACACTGAGGTTGGTGTGCAGATTAAACGCCATCACAGCTGTACCTGGGAGGTGCTCAGATAAAGGGAGTCTCACAGAAGACCCAAATTCTGCTCCTTACTCTGCTGTCACTCGGTGTGTGGCCTCGGACAAGTAGCTTCCCTTCTTTGGGCCTCAGTTTCCCCATCTGCAAAAAGAGGTCAGGTAGTGTGGCCCCCAACCCTTTTGCCAGGGCTGTTCTGAGAAGTGGTACATAATGAAGTTGATGGAGCATTCTTTGCAAACAGGAAAGGGCTCAGCCCTCCTCCCATATGTCCCCTTCCTATGTCTCCAGCCCTCCTCTGCCCCTCCATTCTGGCAGATGGGTTCCCAGGAGCTCGGCTCCTGCCCAGCACCCTCCAACTCTTCTTCCCCCATCTTCCTGCTCCCTCAGGGACCTTCAAGTTTCAGAAGACAGAGCTGCGGAAGGAGGGCTTTGACCCTGCGATTGTGAAAGACCCACTGTTCTACCTGAATGCCCAGAAGGGCCGCTACGTCCCACTGGACCAAGGGGTCTACAACCGCATCCAGGCCGGCAAGGAGAAGCTGTGATTTGCCCCGAGGCCTTCTCAGGGCCAGCAGTTGCTGGATCCAGAGCCCCAGCTCCTACCCAGAGGGGTCTTGGGCAGTGCCAGACCTAAGCAAGCAGGGCCCAGCGCCTCAACCATGAGGTGCTGACCCCCTCCCCAACTCAGACTGCCACGTGACTCACTGCCACTTCCTCCCTCCCCCAGCGGCTTTCTGTGAAAGCCTCGTGACCACGTGTATCTTTGAGGCTAGACCGGGCCTCCGGATCCTCAAATTGACTAGGCCCCTCCGGATGATGTCTTGGGCCAGGTCAGGGGAGGTGGTAGAGCTGCCAAGTGTAGTGACCTCACCTTTAGAAACAATAGGTTAAGGATAAGACATGGTACGTGCTAACCGCCATGTCTCACTTCTAGTTAGTTATCTGCTAAAAATTTATTAACTAGAGGGATTTACTGGCCGGATCACTGCCTATAGGTAAAAAATATTTTAACAATGACGCATTCTGTTTCTGTACCCTTGCTTGCTTACCCACCTCTTAGTTATCAGTTAATGAATGGAGGAGATACAGTCTTTTGTGTAAAAATTAAGGTTGTGGGAGATGGAATCAAGGGCTTAAAACCTTTGTGCCCCTGTGCCTCGGGGCTGCTCCTTGGCAAGGACAGCCGCCGGCTAATAAACTGTCTCTTGGATTAGAGCATTCGAGTTGGGCCTGGTTATCTCGGTCACAACACCAAGCACTCAGAGAGCAGGGGATTTGTAAATAGGACTAGGGTAGAAGCCCCCAGACTCAGGAAGCCTCAGAGTTGGCAGGGTCAGCAGAGGCCATTGATTCGGTGGCTGAAGAGGATCCTGGCCTGTGCCTCCAGGAGGACAGAAGCACCCCGACCAGCAGGTGGCCTGGACTGAACACCCCTCCTCTCCCTAGGTGGCTGCCTGCCTGTGTCAGGCGAGTCCTTTCTGTTTTCATGGGTCTGTCCATTGTCACCTTCATCTCAATCCTGGCCTAGTGCTATAAGGAAGAGGGGTGAGGGGCATTCAGGGGCCAATAAACTGCCTTGACTCCCCAGACTGGGTACATGCCTCCTGAGCTTGCTGCAGCCTGCTCAGGCCCCACCTCCTGCCCCTCTGGCCCATTTATTTATCCATCCATTCACTCACTTGCACTTAGGACCCTCAGCCCTGCCCTCGACACATAAGCCTGGCCTGGTGTTTAGCTTCAAAGTCCAAACTAGCTTTGTCACTTAACAAGTTTGTGGCCTTGGGCAGGTGACTTTGTCTTATGAAAAGGAAATAATCAGAAGGATCCTGAGCCGAAGTAGCCATTATGGGGAAAGGGCTGCTCAGAGCCCTTGAGGGAGAAAATTCTAACCCAGGTTAGGATCACATCTTCAGGCTCATGCTCACGCTGTTCTCTCTGCCCGGGGTGCATTACTCCAGGGTTCTGGGAGCTGTGTGGAGCCAGAACTGGGAGCGGCAGGGTCCAGGAAAGTTTCCTGGAGCAGTCTTACCAGGGCTGTATGTATAGTCGACAGTGCCAGTGGAGAGTCAGCTGTCCCCTAGGCCCCATTGCTGGAGTCACACCCAGGCTGGAAGCTGCGCAGCCTGATGGGAAAGGGGTCCAGCCCAGCCCAGGGCAGTGGGTAGTACCTGCCCCTGGGCTTTATCTTTACTCACTCTCACCACTGGCTGTCACATGGCCCAAATCACAGCAAGTTGTTTGGGCTGGAATGCAAACCCCAGCCCCGTGCCCTTCCCCATGCTCCACCCACCTCCTGGTGTAGAAGACGGGAAAGCCTGGGGAAGCTTCCATTCCACGCATGCCTGTGGAGTCTTCTGTGGGCCACACCCTAGGCCAGCAGCTGACAGTTCAAGTGGAGGATGGCCAGAGTAAGAAATCTGGGGTGCCTCCTAGGGGAGTGACCTCTGAAAGGTAAAGGAGTCTGGTACCTCTCTTGGGGGAAAGGGGGGTGCAGAGCTAGAGATAGGCCTCTGGAGAGCGAGAGTGATGCTGAGTAGGTTTAGTGATGGCAGGTATGGCTACAGTGTCCTGATATGCAGCATCCTGATGTGACCAGCAGAGGGCGTGCAGGGCATGTAGAATCCCAGCTCTTCTGAGGGAAGCAAAAAGGAGGGAACTGTGGGTCCCCTGCCTCAATCATGCCCCGGCAGGTACTCAGCCGAGAGTACCTTGAATGCCTTGGTCGGGCTTGGCTGATAATGTAGCCTTGCGTCTTTAACCGTCAGCAGGGCATGCTCTCCAATGGCAAGGAGCCTATGCCTTCCTCCAGGTTGAACAGTCACCAAGGGCGGTATGGAGTGGTTGATGAAATGCTCCAGCTTAGGAGTCAGGCATTCAAATCCTTTTGCCAGACTCAGCCTCGGTTTCCTGTATTTGAAGATCTAGGAATCCCTACATCGTAGTAGTTGTGCACATGCAACAAGATGGTGCATGGAAATCTCATAGGGGGTCTGGTCCTGATTTCTGCTCAGTATATGGCAGTTAAAAGGAGATGGAGTCAGATGTTAAGACCCCAGACGAGGCCTACATTTCCATGCAGGGATGGGACTGGTGGGCCTCTGGTCATCCTGAACCATGGCTATGTGCGTCGTCTCCATGCACACGGGAAGCAGGCGCTCAGTGCGTGCTTGTGAAGTAAACGATGGCTACTGTGTATTGGCCATTTCCTGACATTTATAAAGTGGTTCACAGTTTACAGAGCACCATGTAAGTTCATCTAAGAGCAGATTCAAAAAGCCTCTGTGTAGGGGGTAGGGTGGGGGGTGAGGGGGCCCACAGTGAGCAAGACAGACTGGGCCCTAGATCTGCCCTCAGAGAGCCCACCGTCCGGGGGCAGGGGAGGGGTAAGCAGCCAAGAAGCAAAGAGTTTGTGCTTAGCTGCACCTAATCCAGCACCCGGGCGGGTGTGGGAGTGAAGCTGGGGGGTCATGTTTACTGGTCAGAAAGGCTTTTCAAGGGAGAGCTAACCAAGAATTGGAAGGGAAGAGTGTCCCAGACAGAATAAGCAGCAAAATGTAACGGCCTGGAGGTGAAGGGCTAGCCGGGCAGATTAAGAAGTGCACTGAGGCTGGGGGCATTGGGGTTGGGTAGAGTTGAGGCAAGATCTGAAAAGTGAGTCCTTTGTGGGCATTTGTACTTAAACACCCCAGACGCTGGGAGCCCGCTAGTAGATCCTTAGACTTGCTAATGGCACCACGTATGGGGCACTTCCTATGTGCCAGGCGCTGTACAAAAGCACTTTAAGTGCATTATTTCATGAAGTCCATGAAACAAAGCAGCTGCTATTTTGATCCCCATTCCCCAGATGAGGAATCTGTGGCTCAGAGATGCGAAGTCTCTCCACAGACCACAGCCTGTGAACAGCGGTGCAGGCCCCTCCTTGGAGCCTCAGTGTTCCCATTGGTAACCTGTGCCAGGGGTTCTCCAGCGACCCCGGAGGTCCTACCACCCTCGGGACAGGCAAGTGGCCACCGAGACCAGTGCTTGGCATATCACTTTCAATTCTTGAGAAGGTTAAATACCTCCGAGGGGCCCATTGAGGCGGTGGCAGCAAGGGAGGGGGCGACCCGGTGACTTTCAAAGGGGCCTGAATGCGTAGCCAGCCCCTCCCCCCGAGGAGGGGGCCCTGCTTCCTCCCAGCCTAATGATATTCTGGGCTCAGCCCTAGTCTTTGGCGGCAGTTTAACCCGAGCCAGGGCGGATTTCTTTCTCACTGATCTCAGCTTGACACTCAATTAGCACAAGAATGGGAGGAGGAAGCCTGCGAGAGGCGCCTCCCAGCCTCCCGGGGCGGACGAGGGGAGCCGGCGGGAAGACAAAGGGCAGCGGGCAGGGGGGCACCCGCGCCCTTGCCTCCCCCTCCGACCCCACCATTGTCTCCCTAGCAGCTTCAGAGCAGCCTTCAGCCGGCGCCCGGGCTGGCCGGCCTGCTGGAGGGGATAGGGGATGGGCCCCAGCCCCTCTTCTGCGTGGATCCCAAAAGGCACTTGGGTGAGCCTGGCCTATTGGGAGACAGGAGGGTCAGTGAGTAGGGCCAGGGATCCTGAAGGCACGACAACCTGGGGTGAGGTGTGACACTTAGGGGTCCATGAGCAAGCCAATTCGGAGCCTCAGTTTTCTCATTTGAAAAATGGGGATATTAATCTCTGCATGTAAAGCAGAGTGCATAGAGGGCATTAATAAATACAGAATGAGTATGTTAAACTGTTATTGTTACTGATTAAAAGGCCAGGTCAGGAAAAGGAAGGACTTTTTGAGTGAGAGCCAGGCATTCACAGAATGGGCTCATTAGTCCAGAAGTGAGCTACCAGTCTTTGGGCTATACAAGGAAAACTGGAGCCCCCGCCCCCTGCCTACTGAGCTGTGGGAGGTATTCCCACTCCTCTTCTGGGAGTGAGGGAATGCCTCTGGCTTTCCCTTGTGCCCTCTCCCTCCCCACCTCCACCTCCCACAATTCCTTTCGATCTGAGCTTAGAGGTGGCTTCCTCTGGGAAGCCTTCCCTGATCTCAGGGCTGGATTAGGGGCCTCCTCCTGCTTCCACAGGCCCCCATGTTCCCCCTTCATAATACTGATCTCACTGTGTGGTCTGTTTTTCCCTCCGTGTCTCCTACAACATCAGCCCCAGGAGGGCAGTGACCCATTGGTTTTGTTTACCACTGTGTTCCCAGCACCAGCACTGGGCCTGCACTTCATAGGTGCTCAATAACTGTATCAAATGGATAAAGCTCTTCAAATGCTCCCTAGCTCTCCTGTTCCAGCACAGAGAAGTGGCAGTTCCCAGGGTCAGAGCATATTGGGAACGGAGGCTCTAAGGCCTCTGAATGCCTTCTGGGAAGGCCTTTATCTTGTTGGCAAAGAAAAGCCACTAAATGACTTTGAGCAGAGGAGTGATATGTGTTCATTTGTTCACTCATTCCTTTATTTGTTCATTCAAGCACTTACCAAACCCCTACTGTGTATGGTACAAAGCTCCTTACCACAAACTAAGGATCAAAGATGAATCACTATACTGTTTCTGCCCTGGAGGAGCTGGGTCCAGTGGAAGAATCTTAAAATATTTTTGCTGAAAGGACCTTAAGAGATCATTTGGTCCCAAACTTTTACAGTTTGGGGAAACTGAATTCCAGGGAGGGGAAGTGCCCTACCCACACAGCCTGGTGATGGGAGGGTCTCTCCATTTCCACAGGATTCCTTTGAGGACCGGGGCTGTCTCATTTCTCCTCATTTTGTCAGTGCCCTGAGATAGTGCCTGGTATATTGCAGGGGCTCAGGGCTGTCTATAGGTTGAACTGTACAATTAAGCCAAGGCCAGAGAAGCAGCAGGTGCAGGTGACAAGTGATGGGTGGTAGTGGAAGAATGTGGGGTTGTAACATCAGCTTAGAAGGGAGACAAATCCAAATATGGTGACTAGAAGTAGAAGAGAAGTGAGCACAATGTCTAAGTTTTCTTGCTTGGGCGTTTCAGTGGGTGGCAGTGTTGCAGAAAAATCAGATGGGCGAGAAACCAAGCACCACTCCGAGAGTTGGAGAACTCAGGTTTTTTATGCCAGCGGTCCCAAAAGAGCTAGGGCTCTGAAGATCTGGGCCTCAAGCTCAGGGGTAACCTTACTTTTATAGCGCAGTTACAGTTGGCAGTTACAGGTGGCATAGGCCGACTGGTAAATTCATCCTGAGGTGGTTACAGAGCACGAGAGTTGCTATGGGCTACGGGCAGTTACAGAGCATGAGATTTTCAGATAGGAACTTAGGCAACACATCTGTTATCTAGACAGAACAAGCAAAAGGGAGTGTGAGTCTTCAGTTGATCTTGAGGTCACTCTGCCCTTCAGCCTATGCGGCAAGCATGTCAACAGAAGCAGAACAAAGAGATGATTACGAGGTTAGCCATTTGAATGGGAAATTCCTCTTCAGCAGTAGTACATACGAGATGGGGGACACAGGGGAGAACCTGTTTTAGGGAACGAGGCACTGTGCCAAGAATTCATTTAGTCTTTATTACAACCCTATGAGGCGGATTTATTATCCTCATTTTACAGATGAGGAAACTGAGGCACAAAGATGTTAAGGGACTTGCCCAGACACACAACGAGGAAGTAGAACATGAAAACAACGCGGGCAATCGAACTCAACCCATTTAACCTTTACATCATTCTGCCCTTAAACACCAGGCTACACCACCATACTCTGCCAGTTCAATTTTGGAAGTGTGGTTTAGATACCCGGGGACATCCACTTCACTCCATTTCTGCCCGTGGCTTTTGTAACAGGCTCCAGTGTTCTCCCTAACCTCTTCCTTGTTCCCCTCCAAACCATTCTCCACACTGCAGCCAGAAAGGACATTTTAAAACATAGTTCTAATAATGTCGCCCCCTACCAAAACCCTTCAAATGCCTCCCATTGCTCTTGGAACAGAGACTGAAATTCTTACCTGGCTCATGTGGCATAATTTGGCCCCTGTCCACCTTTCTAGCCTCATCTCTTACCAGGCCCTCCGCTCTCCGAGTTCTATCTACCTCTGTTGGTGATCCAGCATGTTCTCTCACCCAGAGCCCCTACACCTTCTGTTCTCCACGCTGGAACACTCCTGGAGGTTTTCCTCCCCTGACATCGACCTAGTTAATTCTACTCAGGCTTTAGAGTTCAGCTCAAGTCCAGACCAGTCCAGGGCAGTCCTCTTTCTTTTTAAAGTTCCGATAAGTCCAGACCATTCCTTTCCGTTTGAGATTTTACGTTTATTAGTAAGACTGGCATGTTTATTTGATCGGCTTAGTTTCCCCCACTATACTGTGAGCACCCTAAAGGCAGGAACCTTGCCCATCACCACTGCATCCACGGCACCCAATCAAGATGCCTGGCATACAGAGGACGTGCAATAAAAATCTGTTGTGATTTCAATCCAAGTCGACAGCAAAGGAAGTGGTTGGATACTGAGTCGACAGCTCCGGAGAGACATTTCTGGGCTGGAAATAAAGATTGGGGCGGGTTTGGGTGGGGCAGTCACTTCAAGCAAGAAGTCGAATTCGCCCAAACGGTGTGCGGACTGAACAGAGATTTGTAACTAATCCAAGATAAACAGTAACATGACTCACGGCCACTGCGCAAAGATGCCAGGGGCTCTCCTCAGCCTAGCTGTGCCCAGTGCAGGTCGCCGCCCATCCTGGCTGCCTGAGTCCCGTCCCTAAACGGAAGAAGTGGACCAACTCTAAAGGCCCCATCAGCGCCGGTCACCTTCCCTCTTCCGCTCCGCTCCAAGTCTACCTCCAATAGCTGAGGAGGATGGCTCCCTGGGCACCGCCTCTTCCGTCCTCGGGACCGGAAGTGGGGTGGGAGCGCCGGAAGTTAAAATGAGTTCCTGTGAGCTCGGCTTCCTCAACATGGCAGCGCCCTTGTCAGTGGAGGTGGAGTTCGGGTGAGTCACAGAGTTGGGGTGCCGTGGGGATGGATTGAAATCGTCGGGCCCGGAACTCCCTTCCTTCTGCCTTGGGGCCTGTCACGACCGAATCTCTTAGTCTCCTGGCGCCTTCCGTGAGTTATGCCATCCTCCTCGGAGGGTCTGAGAGGTTCGGTCTCCCTTGGCGACGAGGCCGTATGTCCGGGAATAGAGGCGCACACCCGGGTGTGGAGGTGCGCTTCGGCCACTTCTCGGTGCCCTGCGCCCAGCTGGACTCAAAAGGCGTGACGGTTAGCAGGCGGCTTTCCTACCTTCTTTGCCAGTCCCGCTTTAGACCAGGCCCTTGTGTCTGGCATCTGAGCTCCTAGAACCGAGAAGGACCACCCTTTCCCTGATTCCTTTCTCTGGGCAGCAAGTTCTACTTACACGGTTCTTGAAGCCTTGTTTCTCATGGGTCGTGTGGCCAAGACGAGATTCCTTTCTTCTCTTTTCCAAGATTTGGGAAAACAGACCTGAACCCCTCCCTTTTAGGACGTTTAGTAAATTTGCAGAGTGTCCTCTGCAAATCTTGAGTCAGGTGGAGACAGGGGGATAAATAAGATAGCACAGTGGAGGAGACTAGCCCTGACAGTGCACTACGCCCAAGACACGAAAAGTGTAGGAATTGGGGTACACAAACAGTAACTGAAGAAACAGATCAGGGAGGGTATCTCTTCAAGACACTGTCTTCTGCCTGCTACAAATAAAAAGTTTGTCGTATAATTTTGGAGTCGAGAGAAATTGCAGAGCTTAGAGAGAAGGCAAAGAAACTGAGACCCAAGATGTGGGGGGTATAATTTCCAGTCACATGGAAAAGCTGGGACTAGGAGTGTGTGTGTCTGTGTCTGTGTCTCTCTGTCTGTCTGTCTGTCTGTCTGAAGATAACAAGCCAAGGCTTATATGAAAGGAAAAGTCAGAAATGAGAATCCAAATGCCTTTCCTTTCCTTCCATTGGATGCTCCCAGTTTCTTTCATGCTTTCCCTCCACTGGGTAGTCTATTCACCAGTCATTTATTGAGTGCCTACCATGTGCCAGGCAGTGAGCCAGACAGAGGATACAAAGATAAATAGAACTCTGTCCATGCTCTCCAGTGTTCAGGGTTCTGTCTCTAAGAAGAGAGTAGTCTCATGAATGTTAACTGCATTTTAATTGCTGATATTGTCTGGCCCCTTGGATCCAATTAGAACCGTACTGGGTTGGACTTCTGACTATTTTGCTTCATTGACTCTTGGCCCAGCCATGCCCCTCATAGCCTGGAGGATCTAGGAAGATCCCTACCGCTTTGACAGGCCTCAGCAGAGCTGAAAAGGGAGAAGCTGCAGACTGCCAGTGTTAAGGTTTATCTACAGCCAACTTACCTTTCATTCTAACTGAGTCAGACATGGTATTTGTTCATTAGAAATGTCGCCTGTCTGCCAGGTACTGAGCTGGCAGCAGTGGGGAAGTCACGTGAGGAAGATATGGTCCTTGCCCTCCAAGGCTTACAGACTAGCATAATTATCTCTTTTCTGGCCTGACCATCTCTAACTTCAGCCTTCCTTACCCCCAAGAGCAGTAGTGAGCCTCAGCAAAGCAAGACAACATTCCTGCACCCATTTACTCACCTGCTTGCACCTCTACCTGCAACCACAGCGTCCCATGAGAATCGCAACTTTTCTGGAAGGAAGAGTGCCTAAGATTCCAGACCCAGATTCCTTCTCTTTGTCCTTTTCTCACTGCATGTTTTTGCCCTTGGACTTTCATTTGCTATGTCTCTTAGCAGACTAGACTGTCTTCACCCTGAACCTTAGCAGGTTTGCAAAGAAGCTGTCTTTCCTGTCATTCTCTCCTTTTTGTCCCTGAGTATCACCCTGATCCTTGAAGTCTGGGTAAGGGCTTGGCCTCTTCTCCCTGAGCACCAGGTGTCCTCCCATCCCACCAACTCTGATAGACTCTCCAGAAGACCTCTCACCCCTTTCTCCTTCTTCTCAGTGACCAGTTCTGCCATCCTTTGTCTTGCCTCCTGAACTGGCCTTAGCAGAGCATTTTCTCAGGTCACACAGGGTTCGAAGTATGTAGTGCAGATATATTTTGTGTCCCTGCGGTCCAGCTGTGTGATTCCCTCGTCTTTTTCCCTTTCTCCTTCCTGAGTCTGGGAGGTATTAGCAAAGGGAGTGAACGCCACTGAGGTTAGAAAAGAAGTGGGAGAAATGGGCGTTTTCACTCATGGTAAATTGAGTGCCTTCTGTGTACCAGGCCCTGTGTTAGGCAGAGCTTACATTCCAACAGGTAGAGAGGTAATAAACAAAAAATTTAAAATATAAGATAAAAAAGATGATAAACTAGAAAAAACAAAGGCAGTTTTGGGAATGTCTGTACCAGTCACTGATACCAAGAAACACCCTTGCCAAGAATTGGGGAGTAGAGGGAAGACAAGATATCTTTGGATGTAATGCCTCAATTGACTTTGAAGAGTAAATCCTGTCAGATATAAGAGTCTGGCCTCGGTTCTCTTCTGGGGCCAAAATAGGCCGCTTGCCTGTCTCCTTGAATCACTCCAGAGGCTGAGCACCCACCTTCCTCCCCTCCAGATGTGCTGATAGCAGAAATGGCAGCCCCTCCCTTGGGGGCTAGCAAACCCAGTGGCGACAAGTCACTCTCTGAGCCAGACTGGTTCTCCCTTCATCCATTTGTAAAGGGAGAAACAGCCTCGGCCTCTGAGCCTGGCACCACCAGGTTTGGCCATTCTTGGTTGTTTGCCTGGGTCCCAGTGCCTCCAGCTCCCACCCCTTTTCTCTGACCCCCAATTCCTGAGCCCCTTGCCTGTCGCCCTCCCCCACCCCAGCTGCTGCATGTGCCAACCCCCACCCAGGAGAGAACGAGGCTCTTGGAAGGGGATAAATGGAGGCTCTGTGCGGGCTTGCAGCTGAAATGGCCCTACGCACAGCCACAGATGGGCCTCCTCTCCCCCTCCACATTTCTGCATCAACAAAGCGTGACCTTGTTTGGATGACAGTCGCCCCATGTTTCCTCCATGACAATGTTTTGCCTTGCCTTTGCCTCCCAGTGGACTGTCTCAGGACATCTCTGTTCTCTGAAATTGGGAAAGAGCGGTAGGGTGGGAGGCATCACATCCATCGAGTCTGTTAAGGCCTTCTCAGTTAAGATCCACGTGAAGTCTGAGATGGAGTCAGGAGACCCAGAGGGAGAAGCCGTGTGGGGCACTGAAAGAGCCCCGGTGTCCACAGCATAAGCCCTGGCTTCCTGACTTGGCTCTGAGCTTCTCTGCTGCCCCAGCCTTCCCTTGGCCAGGTGCTGGCACACAGAAGTGAACCAAACTCTGCCCTCGAGGGGCTTTCTGATGTTTGAGAAGTCTTGTTTTTTTTCTGCCAAGGCTGCTGGGACTCAGCAGAAACCAGTTGGGTCTACGGCCATGCCACCCTGAACAAGCCGGATCCCGTCTGGTCTCGGAAGCTAAGCAGGGTTGGGCCTGGTTAGTACTTGGATGGGAGACCACCCAGGAAGACCAGGTGCTGTAGGCATAAAAATATTAAAAATAAGGGATTGTAAGTTGACAAGGTCCTTGCAATATGTGAGGTCAACCAAGGGTTGCCTCACCTAAACAAAACAAAACAAAACAAAACAAACTACAATGAGCTACCATCTCACACCTGTTAGAATAGCTATAATCAGCAGGACAAAAATAAAATAAATATAATAAAATAAAATAAAAAAAGAAACCAGTTGGAATTCAAAGCCTAGTTCGGCCTCTGCCTACATGACCTTGGACAAATTACTTAACCGCTTTAGGCCTCTGCTTCTCCATCAGATGGAGTTAATAATGTCTGCCTCCCTCCCTCCTTCCCTGGGATGCCCTGAGGATGAAATGAGATGAAGAATGATCTTGTAAATGGCCGAATTATTGGTAAGCCTAGTGGAGTTTCTTACTCCAGCATTGTGGTGTGCCAACCAGGCCAGCAGCGGGTGGCACAAGCAGGGACAGTTCAAACCCTCACCTGGCCAGAGGAAACGCCTCGACACATGCAGGGTCTCCAGCATGCCTCATGGTGGCTTTTCAACATTTTTGTAAATGGAAAGACTGAGGCTTGAGAACATAGAGTCACATGCCTAAGGTCTGGGCATCAGGCCGAAGTGGACCCTGGTCTCCATCTCTTGGCCGACAGCTCCAAACCTGACCCTGTATGCTAGGCCACCTCTTGAGAAAGCAGAGAAAACAAGAGTCTGAAAATTTGGGTACTTGATGTTTGGTAAAAAATTACTGATATCCTACTTTACCACATCAGGAAGTCATATTTGAGAATCAGTCACTGGTACCCAAGGTGTTCCTGAACCTTGGGCTTCTCGTGCTAGCCCCCTCCTCAGTTTTCAGGCTCAGCTAGGTACCTGCAGGCACTGACCCGGCTGTCTTTCTCTGGCTCTTCTTTGCAGAGGTGGTGCGGAGCTCCTGTTCGACGGAGTAAAGAAACATCAGGTCACCTTGCCTGGACAGGAAGAGCCCTGTGAGTATGGGCTGTCTGAGCCTCTCTCTCGAGTACTCTGGGCAGGAGGTCACAGGGGTCACTCAGCCCAGTTCACGTGGGAATGGGTTGGATTTCCCTAGCCAGGGAGAACGAGGAAGAGAGGTCACTGGAGCACCCTTCCCCCCGTCCTCTGTGGGATCAGCCAGCTTTGTAGGAGAGAGATAGCGTACCTTAGCCTTGTATTCAGACACGCTAGAGTGAGAATCCCCTTAGAACCTTAGGCCAGTAACCTCCCCTCTCTGAGCCTTAGTGTTCTTGTCTGTGAAGTGGGCGTGGTGATCCTTGTCTCTCAGAGTTGCTAGAAGGAGCATCCGTTGTTGTTAGATGGCAGCAGAGCTGTTCTCGTGAGGGTGGGAACCTCCGTTGAAACGGGAGCGACGTGGGTGGGCTCACACTGTGGTAAGAGGGTTCAGATGAGAAGAATATTCACCCAAAAAGGTTGGAGGAGGGAGTTTGACCAAGGAGGACAGGGGACTCTCTTCATTTGTTCACTCGAATACTTGTTCATCTTTCTTTAACAAACATATATCGAGCACTTCCTGTGTGGAAGACCACATACGAGGCACTGAGGTGACAACCATGAACGAGAGCCAGTCCCTGCCTCAAACTGGGGGTCTCGAAGAGGTCCAGCTGGGTAATATCATTGTGGCCTAGAGACAGGGGCTGGTGTCACGACTGGAGGTGCCCCGCAGCCCTGGCAGTGGATCTTAGCAAGAGCAGAACGCTCGGGACCCAGAGCCCTTCTCACCGAGGACTGAGACACGTTGGCGGGGAAGAGGGGATCAGTTACGAGCAGGCAGGGGAGTGAGGTTCCTGGAGGTGGGCGGCAGAAAATGGTCAGTGAGGTCTGACAGGATTCTTCTGGAACTGGACATGTATCTGCCAGGAATCCAACAGTTATTACCCAAATTTGCTGGCTGCCAATGCTGCTCCAACCTCCCTTGGGTTGGAGAGCAGTGGCTCAGGGTGGGTCTGTGTGTCACATGTAGAGGCTGGGGGACACTCACCAAGGAACAGGGCACTGCCCCCCTTGAGCTGGCAGTTGGCGTGAGGCTGGGGTTAAATGTCAGGATTGTGGGATTGTGTATGTCCCTGGTGGGAGAAGACCAGGGGTGATAAAGATGACTATTTCTTAGTTTGACGGATGGCCACGCAGCCTTGGGAGAGAGCAAGGGGCCCTTAGAAGAAGCCTCTCAAAGAGTCAAAGCCTCTCAAAGAACTAGCTGGGAAGTTATTAAAATATCACAGGTTATGATTGCCTTCCCCCTGCGTTTGCTTGGCATAAATGTCTCCAAGTTTAATACTTCCAGCCCCTTTCATTCATTCATTGTCTGAATGTTTATCAAGTGTCAGATTTAGAAGTACTTTATCCTTTCCTATAGTGGGCACATACTTTTTGAGGGGCTTCTTTGTGCTGGGCATGGTATTAGTTGCCGAGTATTCGGTGGTGAACAAAACAGATAATAGTTCTTGCCCTCACGGAGCTTACAGTGTCATGGAAGTACATCCAGGCAACAAATAAGTAGACACGTGCCTGTAAAATAAATTAAAAAAAAAATCACATTCATGTATAATTATAACAACATGTGGCGTTGGCTGGCATGGGAACAGAAGGGTGCTCTGAATGAGGTGGTAAGGGACGGCCTCTTTAAAGAGGTGGCTTGGAGGCTAAGGCCGGAACGACGAGAAGGAGCCGGCCTGATAAATTGGAGGGAGCGTAGAGGTGCATGGGGCCCGTTCCAGGCAAAGGGGATCGCTCCTGCGAAGGCTCGGGGTAAGAGGCCTTAGGGTGGCTGAGGAACTAAAGGAAGGCCAGTGTCCTAAAGGGCACAGACTGAGTTCGGCATGGTACGCAAGGCCCCAACTGGTTGTGCAAATAATTGTCACCAATTCCTAGGTGGTAGCTGTCGTTTTTATTCCCATTTTAAAAAGTGGAAACCCAAACTCAGAGATGTCAAGGGACTTATTCCAAGTCATACAGTTATTTAAAGAGCAGAGCTGGGATTCAGAACCAGATTTCAGGTTCTTCAGAGTCCTTGCGTGCTGTCACTGACTCGTCATCATTTATCCTGAGAGGCTCCCTGAATCGCATAACGTATCACATCTGCAATGTACTTTTTGGCTTTTATACTTTTATGTATTTATATTTGTACATTCAACAGCTACTTGTTTTGATTTTTCATAATCACCCCCAGTAGATATTATCTATCATCAAGGAAACCAAACTTGAGAGAAAGAGAAGCGGGGTGACCTGTCCAGAGTTGTTCAAGCGAGGAGTCTGAGCTAAGGCCCAGGGTTTTGATCCCTCATTCTCCACCTGCTGCCTATAGGCCAGCTGGGGGCCTATCCTCCACCCTCTGGGATGAAAGGGAAGGAAGCAGGGGAGAGAAGCTGAAACGGCCCCTTTTCTCAGTCTTCGGGGCATTGGCTATGACACTCTACCTCTGGTTCCCATTTTTGCCCTGCCGTGCCCAGAGGCTTGGGTCACATCGCAGCCGCGAGCTGGTTGGCAGCTGCCAGGCCTTACTCTGGCACACGGGAGCCCAGCAGTTGCCACTGGGAGAGTCTTACTCTTCGCCCAAGCCTGTGCCCAGATCTGTTGTCTGGCATCCTTCCCAGCCCAGGGGCTGCCACTTGGCCCAGCAGGTCTTGGAGACTCCAGCAGAGAAAATAGCAGCCATAAGATTATGGACTGTGACAAGTCGCCCAAACAAGGGGACTCCAGGGCCCTGGGTCCTGGGCCAGCGGAGAGCGTCCAACCCGGCCAACTTGAGAGAAGAGGGTGGGCAAGGCCAAAGGGGAGAGGAGCCCTGGCACAGCGCCACTTACTTCCGTGAGCCTCTGTTTTCCCATCTGTAAAACGGGAGGTTGGGCTAGATTTCCTCTTCACTGAGCAGGTTATCCATCTGACATGTAGTTTGGAAATGTTGCTTCCAGAGCTAAGTTTACAATTCTGGGAGACAGGACATGCTGATCAGGAGGAGGTTGTACATGTAGGGGGGACCTCTTAATAGCCGTGTCCCTGGAGTGGGCCGTCTCTTTGATTGGCTGGGGTTGATAGGCACCCATTAGCTTTGGCTCTTGTAGCCCCTGGGGGCTGGCTTTTATGTTTCAAGGATTCTTTCAACTTGAGGCTTCCAGCCCATGGTTGGTCAGTGGCCTGGAGCAAACCCAAACAGTCGGGGGACACAGACTGTCCCAGCGAGGGCATTACCTGCCCTGGCCCCCCAGCAGGAGACGTGTCTGTCTCACCTTTCCCTGGCCGCTTCCTCCGCCCTGCCATTGTACTAAAGGGAGGCTGAGGCGCTGGCTCCCAGCGCCTTTAAACTGCTTAGCATGCATTTCACAGCCTCTCTGGGGCCAGCTGTTCCTTTCTCTGCTCCGGGGCCTGTTTGCTGATCCCGTCCCCACTGCCCTCCTCTCCCCCCACCCCTCCCAGTCCCTGTGCAAAATTGCTTTTGAAAAGATCCACTTTCTGCTTAATTAAACAATGAGGAGCGTCCCTTCGCACATCTGTAAACCTCCTTCTGAGGCCAGTTTAGCCCACAAACTGCTCCATTCTTACCCCCATTCACTTGTAAATGGACCCTCTGATGTTCCCTCTACCCTCTCCTCTCCTTTACTCCCCCCTCCCCAGCTCTTTCTTCTCCCTTTTCAGCGAAGGCCTGGGGTGGGCTCCCAGAGGAGCCTTGTCTTGGAGCCCGGTGGACTTGGTGCAGACAGGAGTGGTTTAACCTATGGAAGAGGAGACTCAGGGGATCCGTCTCTCCCCAGTCTGCTGGGCGGGCATGGGGAAGAGGGAACACATTTGTTGGTGTAGTCCCCATGGACCAACCAGGCTCGGTGGGAGTGACAGGAAGACAGATTTCTGGTTGGGAGAAAAGCTCTCCCAGGAGCGTTCAGAGAGAGGCCGCGTGAAGGGCTGTTGCAGCTGGGACTCCAAATCAGATAAGACCTTGAGATTGTTCTCTTTCAGCCTGAGAAGCTTGGATTGACACCGTTGGGGGGCCCTGCCACAGTGGGTGGTCATTGTCCCCAAACAAGGACAGTCCACTGGGGAGAGGGATTCTGGCAGGAGCCTTCGTAGGTGCTCTCTAAGGGGCATGCATGGTGCCCGTTGTCAGCAGCCTTTAGGAGAAGAAGGTTCTGGTAGCCCAGAGGATAAAGAATCCTGTCACTGGACAAATGTTTGACCTGTGTGTTTAACGGTGCACTGGGTCGACCGCTGCCCTTATGCCCAAATCCTCGGCAGTCTTTGGAGGTTGGAGTATTATCCCCATTTGTCAAATGATGACACTGAGACTTAGACAGGTGAAGTGACCTACCCGAGGCCACCTAGCATGCAGTTTCCAGCTCCAGAATCCAAACTCTTAACCACGCCGCCAAAGCAGCAGCTCCCATCACTTGCTCTTCCCCAGATGGGCAGGCCAGGTGCCAAGGCTTCCTGCCCTGGAAGCCTTTTATTAGGGTGCTCCTGTCCCTCTTCTGGGGCCACGTGACCAGGGCAGTCTGGCCTCCAGTACCCATGGCCTCAGAATGTGATTTCTTCCACCTGGGTTGTCCTGGAGCATCTTAGGCTCATAGAAAATGGAGGGGAGGCCCCATTACCACTCTCTCAATTCCTTCATTTTCCCATTTTCTCTCTGACTTCTGATGGGAAGGTAGTGAATCCCATAGAAAACCTCCCAGCACTGTCCAATTAAAGGTTGACTGGCTGTAACTCACCCTCCAGAGCAGTATGAGCATTTCCACAGAGTGCCAGGCCCCTGGGCAGAGTGCATGGAAGCTCACGTCATCAAGAGAGGATACAGGTTCTTCTTCTGAATCGCAGAAGAATCACAGCACAGTGCCAGGAGCTTCATATGAATCATCTCATTCGATCCTCACAACAGCTCTATGAGGCATTCTTACTATCCCCATTTGGCAAAGAAGGAAGCTGAGGCTCATGGAATTCCTAACCCAGAGCATGTAACTAGGAAGCGATGGAGTTGAACTCGGAACCGGGGGTCCCTGTTTTCAGCCCGCCTTCTCTCTCCAGTTGTCCACATGTTCGGCACACATCTGGGGGAAGGGGCAGGGTGCTGTGTGGAAGGGTCTATGCTGTGTTCTGTGGCCTGTGCCGGATCCAGAGAACATACTCTAGTAATGGTGACTCCACACATTTGAGCTGGATCTTGACACGTGTGTCAGAGCAGAGAAACATAGAGCACAGGCCCGGGCAGTGTGGGTTCTGCGCCCTTGGAGCACATGCTCGGTAAATACCCCTGGGATGCATGAGGAAGCAGAGGCCTCTGCCAGAGCAGGCCCCTTCTCAAGGCTCACACATGCCCTGTAGGATCTGGTCCCTGGCCATCTACTTCTTGGGCTCATCTGGTGACGATCTTCTTGCCTTCTCTATTCTGTTACCTTGAACCTGCCAGTTCCATCCTGCCACAGGTCTTCCCATATGTTCTTCCTTCTGCCTGGAATATTCTCCCATCCCACCCACTCATCCTTCAGGCCTCAGCTTTTCTTGATCCTACACAAAGGAGATAGCATTTATCACAACTAATATGTAATGTCTGGCTCCCCTGCTGGCCTGTTAATGCCATGAGGGTAGGCTCTATGTCCGTCTTGCTCACCGCCATCTCCCTGGCACCTGCACGTACTACTCACTCAGTAAATATTTACCTTACGAATGATTGCGTGGGATCCCAGGAGGGAAGCCACCCTCAGTCACAGTGGAAAGGCAGTAGGACGCAGAGGGGGAAGGTGAAAGTGAGATTCCCCAGAGCCCTCCCCAAGCCACCAGCCCCTGACTCTGCTTAACCCTTCCTCCTCCCCGGCAACTTTGGAAGCAGGCCATCTGGCTTGGAGGCCATTTGCATATTGTCTGGGCCTCAGCAAGCCTGGCAAGATGTCCCTGGGGGTGTATTTCAGGCCAGGCCGAGTGGCCCTTGCAGCCTGCGAAGGGAGCCTTGAGTTCCATCTCTCCCCACCGCCAAATCCAGGCATGGGGGAACAATACAGATGATGATGCAGTGGCCTCACCATGGTAACAGGCTATCAAGAATGTGGGTAGGCCTGGGGGGCCCAAAGGAGGGAGGGAATGACCTCAGCAGAGAGGAGCATCATGATAAATGAGCCAGCACCGGCAGCAGACTCACCCCCAGCCCACCCCTCTGGGACTCCATGATGGTACCATCACTTGGATGACCCCAGCATGACCACTAGCCACCACCACCACCCCCGCAGCCTATCCAGAGTGGAATAGAAGTCCCCTCATTTTCCCCAACTGGGTCTGGTTCTGTATAGGCTGTAGAGGTGCAGCTGGTGGCCTTTAGGCCAGGCACTGCCTAGTCCCTCTCAGCGTCTCCACACACACAGGCAGAACCCTGTCTGTCAGGTCTGGCTGATGGATGTGTCAGACCCCGGCGGCTCTATCGAGCGGCCAGAAGATGTATGAGCTGGCGGCCCACCAGACAGTACCAAGATGGAGGCCGAGGAGAAACCTCTGAAACCTAGGCATCAGAGGAGGAACCCAGCCAGGAGTCCAAGTGGACTGCGGCTAGTTGGAGGCGACACTCCCACCCCCTGCCCACTCCAGGGACCCTGAGAAATCCGGTCTGCTTTTAAAAGTAGGAATTAAAATTGAAAGGTGGCAGTCTCCGTCCATGGACACTTTGCCCATAGCCCTGTGCTCTGCTGGCATGTGACCCAGAGAAGTTGGCATGGGGCAGAGTAAACCAGCCTATTCAGCCTGTGCCTTCCAAGAGGGTGGTACACAGGCCAGTGAGAGGGCCTTGAAACACTGCCCAAGGCTGGTACTGTGCGTATGACACGCTGCTGGGCCTAGACTGCGGAGAGCTAATTCTCAGTGCCCAAGCAGCCTTCCCGTCACCTACATTCCAGGACTGACTAGGCGGAGAACAAGGCCCCACCTGGGCCTTCTCCAGCCTAACCCTTGAGCTTTGTCTCAGGCATGAGTCCAGGACAACAGACCCCTCTGAGACATTGACTTGGGTGGGGGTGGCTAGTCCCAGGCCCCTACTGGCTTTTCAGAGACTAGTTGTCTCTCCAGAGCCTTCAGTCCTCAGGCCGTCCCCAGGGGAGAGGGAACTCGGGCAGCCTCAGCAGTCTGTTTGAGGAGTGGGTAGTTGAGAGCTATAGCCCTCGAGGAGTTTATAGAGCCAGGTTTCAATGTGTTATCGCCCGGGATCCTATTCCTAGGAAGGAGAGGTGACCCTGGGGACAGGTGACTCTTAGCCTCCACATGATGCACAAAGAGCTTGGTGGCTGTCCCCGAACCACAAAGCAGCAGATCTCAGAGTCCAGCTGAGCAGGAGAGGCCCTTCAACCCTGAACCTCTTGTCTCTTCAGGGTGGCTGTCCCCAGCTCCGGGGGCTCTGTGGAGGGGGCAGTGATTTGTCAGTGTCTCTGGCTGGTGAAGGATCCTTCTCTCCTTCTACCGGAGGAAATTAACTGATGTTATCAGCTCAGCAATTGTTTTTCTTCCCTCACAAAGGAAATATATGCAGACCGCTCTAAGAGCAAAGCAGCATCCCCCCCATCGGGACTGGCTAGAGAGATAAAAATGGATGGAGCTGTCCACGGCCCCCTCCAAAGCCGATCTGTGGCAGTGTCAGACTGTCTTCCAGGGCTTGTGGGGGTCTGTCTCCCAATCCTTTCAGATGTGACTTCCTCCTGCCGTGTGCCTTGAGCCCCTATTGTCTCTTTAAGCCTTCAGCAGTGCTAGATGCCAGTTTTCTCTGAAGACCTCTCTGGCAGGTCTCTGGCCTCTCTTGACCTATTTTCTCACCTTGGGAATGCATAAGTTCAGGGCCCATGGCAGTCTGGTCTGAAAGAGGCCCTCTGGGCCCCATGTTCACCTTCTTCTGGTCCAGGTGAGGCTCTAGGGGTCAAGAGTCATCTAGGTTTGACAGTAGTTTGATCTCTGCCTTCCTCTTCAGGGGACATCCGGAACCTCCTTGTCTGGATCAAGAAGAATTTGCTGAAAGAGCGGCCAGAGCTCTTCATCCAGGGAGATAGCGTGTGAGTCCCTTTCCTGCCTCCCCTGAGGAGGGCGGCTGGAGGGAAGGAGGTTTGGGCCCCTGTCCTTGCATTCAGCCACCGCCTTCTCCATGTCCTATTATCCCTGCTATCGTCCCCTTACCCTCTGAGGAAAGAGCTTCTGTCCGGTTTTCTTGTAACCATGCTGGATTGTTGGGAATCTTTTCAAAGCCCAGGCCAGGAGACTGGTAAAGTCCTCAAAAAACTTGGATTCCTCCTTTTGTTTGCCACGGGCTTGCTGCTGTGGAACCTTAGGCAAGTTGTTTCCTTCTCTGGGCCTCAGCTGCTCTCTCTGTACAGAAAGTACGAAGGAAAAAATGCTGCCTGGGGTCCCTTCAATCCCTTGACAGTCTTGGATGTGTTAACCTGTAGAATTTTTGCCATGATGGAAATATTCTTTATCTGTCCTGTCCAATATGGTGGCTGCTAGACACATAAGGCTGTAGAGCCTTAGACATGTGGCCAGTGTGAATGAGGAAGTGAATGTTCAGTTTTATTTAATTGTAATTTAAATTTGAATATGGCTAATAGATACCATATTGGACAGCACCGGTCTAGGTCCCAGGGTGTTACTGTGTGCACGTGCGTACACGCACACAAATTCTTGCTCGCTGGGGACACCCCTACCTCCAGTCCAAAGCTTCTGTACCTGTCCCAGGCCTGGCTCAGCCTCCTAGGCAAGGAGCCAGGTTCCATGTGCCAAGAAGTCACTTCTACAACAAACAGCGTAATGTGTAAAAGTGGCGGGCAGGGCATTTGTAGGACTTGTTTATCTGCCTTGAAGCAGAGGTCACCATCCAGTCCTGAGGTCTAAGGCTGCCATCCAGCCCCTGGTTCAGGTCATGGTCTGGTAGTCATGGAGGCCACCCCAAGGACAGCAGTGCTCCTTGGGCCACTGCCAACAGGAGCCGGGCTAAGGTCCCTGTCCATACGTCGGCCTGCCCTGCCTTATATCAGTAGTGCTGTTCTGGGCATCCAGGGGCCCTGAGCCTGGGCAGCCTTCCCTGACTTGGAGGAGCTGAGACAGCCCCCTCTCCAGACAGGCATGCAGGAGGCCTAGGAGAGTGAGGTTGGAACCCTGGAAAAATATACCGCTGCCAGTGGTTATCGCTACCAACCCTGGCGAGCAAGCACCGCACACACATCATCATCCATTTCATCCTGGCACAGGCCTTGTGGGAAAGGCGCTGTCATTTACCCCATTTTCAGGTGTGGAAACTGATGCTCTGAGAAACAAAATGACCTGCCCAGAGTCTGAGAGGTGACGCTGGAATTTGTACCCCTTTTCCATCTGGCCCCTAGACCATGACTATCTGATCTGGTTTCCTTTAGACTCAGACTGTTACCTCTGCTTCCTGGGAGATCTTTAACCGGAACTTCCAAAGGAAGGGCTCCCACCACCCACTCCTGCAGCCCAAATGCTTAAGCCTCTGCACGCCTGCTGCTGACTGCCCTTCCCTCCCTGCTACTCACCACCATCTTTCCCGCAGGCGGCCAGGAATTCTTGTGCTGATTAACGACGCAGACTGGGAACTGCTGGTCAGTGCCTCTGGGGACATCCCTCCCCCAACCCCTCCCCTCACTGCTTTAGTAGCAAAGCCTTGGGCCTTTCATCAGGCCCAAAGAGGGGGACTGGGTAATCCTCTGTCCCACTCTAGCCCCCAGACTAAGGCTCTTCAGGTCTCCCACCGTGAGCGAGGAAGGAAAGGATGGCTGGGGGAGGTGGTGCGCTGTCCTCCATCCTAAACGTTTGCAAATGAAAGTATAGGGAACCCAGTTTTCTTTCCTCCCAAAGCAGCCCGACCTTCACCCCCGACCCTCCACCCCTCCCGACACCTGGGGACAAACTGGAAAAGTGGCCCTCAGAGTCTCCTCCTCGTTTCTCTCCTGGACCAGGGCGAGCTGGACTACCAGCTTCAGGACCAGGACAGCGTCCTCTTCATCTCCACCCTGCACGGCGGCTAAGGGGCCCTCTCTGTGCCTGGGCGCCCTTGGGGGGCAGAGAAGAGAACAATCAGACGTCCCCTTGGGCCCTGCTTCCAGGTCTCCCTGTCCCCCTTGTCTGCTTTCTTCCCTGCTCTGTCCCCTGAGCTCCCTCCAGGCAGGGAAAAGAGGCCAGGTGCTAAAAATGAGCCTTTACTCAGACACGTGGACAGGGGAAGCAGGCTGGCGGGCGGGCAGGCGGGCGCCTGAGCCTGGCGTGCCCTCTCCCAGCAGCTGAGGTGGGGGAGGGTGCCCCTTTGGTTTGTCAGTAGTGGAGGAGGGCTCTGCAGCCAGGTGACCCAGCTGCCTTCCACTCCTGTGTCTCAGTCTAAACGCTGAGTGACCACTGGCAAGGCACTCCAGCTCCCGGTCAGTGTCTTCATGGGGAAGATGAATGGTCCTGAATGGCTGACGGGAGGCCCCTCCCTTTTCAAACATTGGAGGAGTTTCGCCTCAGTTTCCCCATCTGGACAGTAGAGAGCTCTGCCTGTCCCCCACCGATGTCATTATGGAACCCCAGCTGGGGTCCCCTATTCAGTGCCGACCCCCTCCCCCCCACCCAGCAGCTGCTCTTCCAACCACACTCCTCCTTCTGCTCCCCCCTCCATCCCCAGCCCTTGACCCTGGCTGGCCTTCCCCCCCACAGGCCACCAGATGGGCTCCTGAGACCCTCCCCCAGCAAAAGGCTGACTGCAGCTCATTCTAGAGAGAAGGAGGCAGTAGGCTTAACCTTGGACTGGCGAATAGAGGCCTGGGAGAGTCAGTGTGCCTCAGTTTCCTCCTCAACAACAACTGAATATAGTATCTGAAAACTGGTGTGACACTTGATGGCACAAAAGTAGACTTTTATCTTCCCACCTTCTGCAGGAAGCAGGATCAGGGCAGGTGGCACCTGGTAGGCAGGATGGTTCACCGTTCCTCCCCTCATCCCTTCTGGAAGTCTTGGGGCTTCAGTGTCTGCCACAGCTGGCCTTGGGCAAATAAAAGACTAGGTTGTTTACTAGCCTTGCCTGGAGCTTTATCCTTAGAAACCAGTGACACCCCACATCCTCTCAGCCATGGTCTCTGGTCCATCCTCTCTGCCCTCTTATCTAGGGCTTTTAGAGCTGCCCTTCACCCAAAAATGGAACGGGGTTGAAACCCAGACCACCCATCCTGTCTGGGAAGGGGCGATCTGATTAGGGCCATCTGGAGAAGGGGGTGGCAGAGCCAGTCTGTCCTCACCAGTGTGCGTCCCAGGACATTGCCGTACCCGTCCACGGCTTTGTCCCACTAACTGCAACCAACAGCCCCAGAACCCAGAACAGGAGTGGCACAGATAAGACTGCTGAGCCCCTCCTTCTCATGAGCTGGAGAAAAGCTTTGTTTGCTGGAGGGATAGCTCAAAAAAAAAAAAAAAATTAGGGCATTAATATCATCCTGCCCAAAACGTTTTTCATTAAATATCAGTAATTTAAGGTGGAATTTCTCTCACTCTGTTGGGATGAAGGTGGCAAATGGTTGTCCCAGCAGTATGTGGGAGATGTGTGTGTAATATTCTCAAGGCGTAGAGCACCCACAACACCCAGGCTGGTAAGCATCTCTCCAGCTCTCTGGGTATGTGTGTGGGTGGGGACTGCCATGTTGGGGTTACAAATTAAGGCCAGTGTTGGGGTCCAAGTGCTGTCTAGGGAGGCTGTATGACCATCCCACATTGGGTGCTGAGGTCAAGGTCTCCATGTTAGGGAGCAGTGCCAAGGGACTTGAAATGGCCCCCTACAACCTCACGGTGGAAAATTGGCCTGTCCCTTGATTCCTGTAACCTGGAGGTCCCTCCCTGCCTCCAGTCCTACTAGAGTGGCCTGTTGTCCCACCCAGGGTTCCAAGTCCTGGAGACTGGGCCCGAGGATTCCTTTCCCACCCACACTGGGGCAACGGGGGTAGATACGGAATATCCGTTCCACGTCTGCACCCCAGTTAACGTGGAGCAGTAGGGCAGGAGGATGCGCAGGTTCTCTGAGGCACGAGGGGATGCCAGTGCCAAGGCCGAAATTGTCCAGGGCCAGGGGCCACAGCATTATAGGTGATTTTCAGCCCAGAGTCTTAGAGGGGTCAGGGACAGGTGACCTAGGCTCAGCCCCAGCAATGCCCAGCTGCTGCCCCCCCAGGCAACTCCTCACCCCCGCTCGTGAGGAAATAAACGAATAAATAAACCCCACTATATCCGAAGATTAGTCTTTAATGAAAAGGATTCATTTGTCCAAGTTCGGGTTCCAAAGCCGAGGCGGTTTGCCGGGCTGGAGCGCACGATTCCCCACGCTTCTCCGAGCTGCGACTCCGGCAGCGGCTGGAGGAGGCTCAGCCCATCCGTTCCTCTGGAGGGGCTGGCGGGAGGGGTCGGTTTATGGGGGGTTTAAGGGTCGGTTTAGGCTCTTTTTGTTTGGAGGTTATTGGTGGGGGACAGGTGAGAACCAATTCAAAACGAGGTAGCGAGCGCATTCCGCCGGCATCTTTCGCCCCCGACTTCCTGCGGCTCGGCCCGAGGGCGGGCACCCTGGACCACATTCGGCCCCGCCGCCGTGTGCCAGCTTCGTTCCCAGCCGAAATTTGAAAAATGGGAAAACAACGCGATCGACTGGAGGACCCCTCCAGCAGGACTGGTCACCCGCAGAGGAGGAGGAGAAGGAGGACGACGGCGGCGACGAAGACGAGGATGGCGGCGCTGGCGGCAGGGACCCGCGTCCTTCCTCTGCGCTCCTGGCCGGGGCCGCGATCCTGGCGCTGGGGCCAGCCGGCCGCCGCCCGACCGAGGGGTCTCGCCCGCCTGAGCTCGGTCCCTGCGGCTCCCGCCCCTGTTGCGCCCGGAGCTCAGCCACAGATGTCCAGCCACAATTCTCGGTTGGCCGCAGACTCGTACAAGAATTGCGTTTGGACAATCAGTGGCGAAGCCCCTGAGTTCACGGCCCCAGTCTCTGGGTTCCGCTTTGGTCCTTAAAAGCGCCTGGCCGGGAGATCTCCGGAGCTGTGCGTCCGACTGCCTCGCAGACGCTCGGCGGTGGCCGCCCATCCCGCGGTAAGGTGGACGCGCAAGCACGCGGATCCCGACCGTGTGTCGGGATGCCCATCGCCCCTGGCGTGTGTCTCCTTCGATCGCGGCCCCGGGCACCTAGAGTAGCCCGTGTTGGGTCTCTTCGCCGCCCCAGGTCGGGGGAATCGCCTTGGGCCCGGGGAACCCCAACTCCCCGCTCCCCGCCCCCAGCCTGGGTTCCCCGGGCTTGCCAGGATTCCGGAAAGCAGGGGCCCGAGGCCGGGTGGCGTTTCCGAGCCCGGTGTCCGGGCTGTTGGACTCGTGGGTCCCCCGCCCCCGCCGTCCCCGCGCACGCACCGGCTCGGGCGCTCTCTGCTTCCCTGCGGCT